TTATACATGAAATAAAAGACGAATTATACAAAATAGGTTTTAAATGGTTGGTTGAGAATTTTCTGCAATCAATATAAGTAAGAATTGTATTCCAAATTAATAAATGCTTCCAATTAAAGAAGGTTATAGACACAATTTACACGACGTGTCATCTAAAAACTGCACATTAATTAATTCATAAGTAATGCTTCTGACATCCTGCTGTTTATTTCTGGTCACCGTCCTCGTCGAACCCGTCGCTTGCGACGAAGGGCTCGACGAGCGAATTAACCCATAGACACAGCCCACTGAGTTTCTCGCCGGATCTTCTCAGTGGGTCGCGTTTCCGACCCGGTGGTAGATTCTGCGAAGCACTGCTCTTGCTAGGGTCAGTGTTAGCAACACTCCGGTTTGAGCCCCGTGAACTCACCTACACACGTTAGGGTGAAGCTGAAATAGCCTCTCAAGGCTATCAGCATGGCTAGGAAAAAAAAGCTGTTTATTTTATTTGATAAACACAATCATTACTTCACTGGAAAACAAATAAAGTTACGATTAAGGTTGTCACCAAATAGATAATTGAGATATTAATAAGGTAAGGTGTTTTGTTGTGTCAAGTGTCTGTAGAATTAAATGAAGAGCCAAAATTTAAATTTATAAATAAGATGATAATTTCCATACTTTATTTCAATAGCAGCATAACTACCAATCTATTCATTATAAACGCTCTAAAACACAGACACGAAACAAAAAAGAAAAGCCAGAATTCCTTCTCATGGGGCAACCACAAAAATATCTCTATTTAGTTTGACAGCCCTATTCATGACGGTTATCGTTCAGATAGAAAGTGGTCATTGTTCAGCATTGCTCGGTTTGTGCGATGGATTCTGGTCCAAATGAAGGTATATACAGATAATAAGTCACGATTGATCGCCCTGTTCTGTCATATTCTAATGAGCTAAAAGTTGTAAGCTGTAGCGAGAAAACAATTCGATTTATTTGCGCGAAATCTTGTAAGCATTGGAAATAAAATATTGTTCGTATTTTGGACTAAATTATGTAATATACTGTTGAATTTTGTAATACATTTATTATTTGTTTGCGTATTAAAAATCCCTTAAAATGAAACCCGCAAAATTATAATTTGCATAATTACTGGTGGTAGGAACTCATGTGAGTCCGCGCGGGTGGGTACCACCACCCTACCTATTTCTGCCGTGAAGCAATAATGCGTTTCGATTTGAAGGGTGGGGCAGCCGTTGTAACTATACTTCAGACCTTAGAACTTATATCTCAAGGTGGGTGGTGCATTTGCGTTGTGGATGTCTATGGGCTCCAGTAACCACTTAACACCAGGTGGGCTGTGAGTTCGTCCACCCATCTAAGCAACAATAAAAACCATTTTTTTTTGTTATTTATATGTATATGTCTCTACTCGTCATCATATTGGCTGAGGCAATTTCAATATAGTTGGTAGATAATTAAAAAAATCCCGGGGAAAAAGTAAGGAGTCAAAAATGATTTTTTTTTTATAAAAGAAAGAGGCACGGATTTCATTTCAATGCATAGCTAGTAGTTAGAAAAACTAGAATATTCGTAAGCAGTTTCAAAATTCAAAGAATAAAATACTCATAGCAATCGTCTACAGTAAATAATCAACCTGGAACCATGCCCTTATTTGCGTGTGATTGGTAGTCCTCATTCAACTTCCACACCAAGTTAGTCAGCTACATGAGATTACTGGTAGCTTCAGGAAGAAACATCAAGATGTTAAGGTATTCAGCCTGGGGTTCTACGTTCTGAGCTACTATCTCACAATTTTCATTTTATTACATTTACATATAAAGCAGTGATAGGGTGTATTGGGGAGGCTAATGTCCGTATCTTTAGACGTTTCGTCAAATATTCCTCCACTCTTCACTCATCCGATGCCGCTCGAGTATTCCTCCCAAACTTACTCGAGTTTAGTATTTTTTGTCGACCATTACATTATTCCTCAACTCTACTCGAGTGAGGTAGAGCCGTGGTATTGCATCAACACGACGTCATCATACGTCAATTAAAAATAAAATAACCTATTCAACTTCGTCAACAACTTGACAGCCGGTCGCTCGTGTCTTGTACCAAACGTAAACGGTGCCGTATGTTCGGGCGTACCACTAATATAGTCGATACGTTAATCTTACGTTTCGTATCCGGCTAGTAAATCGGCATTGCGTTACGTTCCCGGGTGGGCGGACACGCGTCGACATTACAAATCATTCTGATAGTTTTTAATTTCATTGTTACAACGAATTAGTCGTATGTGGTTCGATGGTAATTTCGGTGTTCTATTGCCGCTATTATTGGCTATTGGAACAACTATTATTTAAAACGAAGCGAAAAACATGCAATTACATAATACGAAATGACTGAATGAAATGCAATGCTATGAGAACTTAAATTATCCCTTATAATATTTAATTATTATAGGAGAAGAAGACTGATTGATTTTGGAAACAATTACGTTATATTTTTGTCCTGCATGTTCAGCAACATGAAGAAGAATTGTAATTTATAAACGAATCTAGAGAAATATGTATTTCAGAAACATTCAAACAGTCCAAACTTTACTTATTATATTAATTTAAATAATATAACCTCATACTAGTGTTGACATGACATTCTTCGAACGTAATGAAATTCATGAGAGGACTTTTTACTAGTGGTAGGACCTCTTGTAAGTCCGCGCGGGTACGTACCACCGCCCTGCCTATNTGTTGAAGGAATGTTGATTGAAATTAGAAAAATTGGACGGTATTGTTATGACGATGACCCGTTTATAGTCAGTTCAATAATAGGCAAATCCATAAATGAGAAACCATTTCACGAAGAAACAATTAATAGTTTAAAACACAGGATACTTGTATTTTTGTTTAAGAGAGCTAAAAAAATCACCGACGAGACTGGTGATCCTTTGGAGTTACGAAAGTTTTACAAGTACTTCGATATGTTTAAAAGTTTGAGAATGTGGAAGATGCAACTGTTAGATGAAGATCATTTATTTATAAAATACGCAAGCGAAGAGGTTGTGACTCTTAGGGTGGCTGAACCCAACAGTCAGTCATCATTCTTTGTCATATACAACATAAGCCAGAGTAAAGTGTTGGAAATATACGAGAACACGTCCGAAGCGCTTTTGCAACTTTTCGAAAACTACTGTGATTGTTTTAGAAATGCGAGACTGTGTGCAGATTCGCAGTTCACTTGCTCGCCATCGAATAATTTATACGCCAGGTTGACACAACAAAGGTTTAAACAGACTATAGTTAGAGCGATATATGGAGGACGTACTGAAGCAACTAAAAGAATTTTAGCGCAATTACCGATAAGCGCGCAGTCGTATAGTGGATCTCCGTATTTAGATTTAGGTCTCTTCAGCTACGACGATAAATGGGTATCTGTGATGGAGAGACCTAAGGCCTACGGAGAATATCCCATAAGGTAAATTATTTTATGGATTTTTGATGTTTTTTTTTTTTTTAATTGGGAATCTAATTTTCATTACTTGTTTTATTTTTCAGATTCTATGCAAGGGATTCGGGGCTATTGAAATTTAAAATATATGCAGGGGTTTTAGGACAATCTGTGCCTCCCAGTGCTCGAAGACTAGTAGCTTTCACATTCCATCCAACAGATCCTTTTGCTATTAGCGTACAAAGAACAAATTCAGAATACATTGTTAATTTTCACATAAGGAACGCAGTGTTTAGTTGAAAGTAACTATAAAGTTTTGGATCGATTTATAATGACTATTTTTACTGTGATAAAAAACTTACAATGTAATAATTAATAAGCAAAAAAGTGAGCCGATGGTTTAGCTATTAGTGTCTGTTATCTTACAGTAAGTAATTATTAGTTAAATATGTTATTAATTATATAGTTATACACACTTGTGGGAGTTATTACTTTACACAAGTATTATATTTTTACATATTATTTCAAATGTGTAATAAATAAATCACTAATAATGCATTTTTTTTATCAAAGTGGTTTATGTTTTAATGGACCTCAAAATATTATTTTGGTAAGAATTCTCTCATTGAGATAGTGTCCATTTTGCATAGGGAATATGTGAATTATATATACATATCTGATAATAAAAATATTATTCTAGAAATATATGCCGTAAGTATAGTTTTCCGTAGGAATAAGTTGTTTTTGTGAGATAAAAGGTAGCATATTTCAGTCTCCTGACTCCTACTACTATTATTAAAAAAAAAATCAATAATCTATTGCTTTTTTTGACATGAAAGGGACAAATACACATACTTTCATATTTATAATATTAGTATGGATAGTCTGTTTTTTACTACTTTAAATGGGAAAAAGACTGACTCTCCGGGTGTTTAAAATAATTACGAATTACACCAGCGTGAATGCCGTCAATGTTAGATAATAAGGTCCATCTTAATTCTATTTTTGGGACCGTGGTTAGCGTTCAGTATGATGCTTTAGGGCCTAAACAGAGAACCAGTCAAGTGTTTCGCCTATAGTTCAGGCGAAACTACTATTTCTCTTCAGAAATAGACAAGTAACTGAGATATATCAGTACCGCCTTTATGTACGGAAATTTATTTTGCTGGATTGTTTTATTTTTATTGCTTTGATGGGTGGACGAGCTGACAGCCCACCTGGTTAAGTGGTTACTGGAGCCCATAGACGTCTACAACGTAAATGCGCACTCCTACTTGAGATATAAGTTCTAAGGTCTCAAGTATAGTTACAACGGCTGCCCTACCCTTCAAACCGAAGCGAATTACTGCTTCACGGCAGAAATAGGCAGGGTGGTGGTACCTACCCGCGCGGACTCACAAGAGGTCCTACCACCAGTAATGAGTTGTTGCTTAATAAAATGATCTTGTAAGTTCGTCGTGGAATTTTTTGCCAACAATAATCCGTTTCACATTTTTTGTTGAAAAGATTTGTAAAATTGAACACTTGAAATTCATACATCATTACGTCATTAGACCATAGAAGTGTTAAAATAAATACATACTTTTCTCTATGTTGCATGCAATTTACAAACTTAAAATGTCATATTATATCAATTAGACAACACTTGTACAATAATAACCTATACATAACATAACCGATAATAAAAATGGTTTAATTAACTAATATGACAAAATAAATACAAATGCTTCAGTACAAAGTAACAGTAAAATGCAGTTTCAACCATTGATGCCGTGTAATGCGCCACATTTCGCACCGCCTAGCTCAAACTTGCCACGTAAGATAAAATTAATTGCGTATTTTTAGATTAAAAAAATTGAAAAATTCGGCTATCCGAATCTGGCCTTCCTATACTCAGCATTAATAGTATATGTATTCCTATACTCACACATATAACTTTATTTTCCAGCTTGACCAATCTAAGATTACCAAATAATATTGACTATGCTATTGTTGTAGTCTGCTGACAGCCTGACCAAACAATATTTATACATGTAATGGCTTTATTCCCCGGCTCACGGTATAATACTAAAAAGAGAAAGATTCAAAAACTATTTTGTATCTTCAAATTTATTCATGCTGCTTTTTTTTAGATAATATAATAGGGGAAGGCGATGTCGTTGCCATAGTGTCTTCAGGGGGTGTTCTTCAGTATTTCTTCACACCAGTCACCCACGGTATACACTGTCCAACCAACGCACCTTATGGGTTACCTTATTGGAATGCAAATAAACCCCTGTGGTTCGTACGCAGTATTGGTGATCCGTAAGTCAATTAATTTTGGTATTTACATTTTTGTCATTGCTTTCGATAGGCAGACGATTATAGCAATGGACGGGTGTATTATGAGCTCGGATGAGTAGATACCATCATACTAAGTATCCAATTAGTATAATAATTATAAAAAATGATTACTGGAGGCCGTAGATGATAGCACGACTACTTCTGACTTACTGACTTACTTCCGCTATCTGTCTTGAGACATGAAGTCAGTCTCGGTTGCATTTCAGTTTCTCTGTCACATCCTTCAAATGAACAACACGTAGCTGTTCGGCCATAAACGTATGGTGCATGGTGGTACGCACAGGTGAGTGGGCTCACAATACGCCCTAACCTTTGCATTGGACGCCTTCAGCTCTAACACTAGGAGCAGGCTTAGAGACCCTGTAACTAATCGTGGAACTCGAGAATGAGTTCGACGTGCAACCTAAGCCATGTATTAGCCCGCTGAGTTTCTTGCCAGATCTTCTCAGCAGGTCGCGATTCTGATCCGGTTGTAGATTATTTCGCGAAGCAGCTGCTTGGAGTTGTTAGGTCTCTTTCGGAGGCGCTCGGGCAGTTGTTAGCAAATCCGACCCCTCCTGGCTGAGCTTTTGCTCACTCACCTGTCTCGGTGAAACTGGAAAGGCCACAGGGCCACCAGTAATCACTCATTAAAAAATGCCCTACTGCCAATAAATTGTACGTATATGTAGTATTTATTAGCACATTATTAAGCTCTTTTTTTGTTTAGATTTCATATCCAACCATATCCTAATTCGCCAGAAGGCGTTATTTTTAATCGATACAATATTATATCGGATAGTCAACCCGTTCAACCATTTGATTTAAAGGTGAGAAATGTGAAATATATCCATTATGCATATTGAAATCGGTTCAATTATAGAATATACCGATATCTCGTCTGTGTACTCCATTGTTTGCAGTTTCACAATGATCGTTGGACGTCAACGACTGATTTACATTACTTTTATCCGTCGATACGTCAATACAATTGGTTTCCAAGCGGACTAAGCAAAGGCAGTGCAGCAGTTCAAGTGGAAATGCCAAGTTTAACCAACAATGTATGTCATTACGAGATTGTTTGCAACTGTGGAGTCAAAAGAACAAAAATAAATTGTAATTGTCGTGATGAGGTAAGTGCTATGTCTATTGATGAGACAGTTTCGAAACCTGCAGCAAAAACTCATAAGAATGAAACTAATGAGCCCTCTTCATTGACCGTTATTAAAAGAAACGTTGTTTGTGAATGTAACAAGTCTGATATAGCTGAAAGATCGGCCTCAACATATTCTGAACAAGCCGCTGTCGGAAGTCAAACGCCAACTAAGCCTAAAAACAAAAGTACTTCTATTAAGAAAACTAAAAACGAAAAGACGTGTCCGAAACGCCGCTACAAGGGACGGGCTCCCTCTAAATCGTATAATACGACTAGTGACAGTTCNAACGTTGTTTGTGAATGTAACAAGTCTGATATAGCTGAAAGATCGGCCTCAACATATTCTGAACAAGCCGCTGTCGGAAGTCAAACGCCAACTAAGCCTAAAAACAAAAGTACTTCTATTAAGAAAACTAAAAACGAAAAGACGTGTCCGAAACGCCGCTACAAGGGACGGGCTCCCTCTAAATCGTATAATACGACTAGTGACAGTTCCCAAAGCTGCAACTGCAATAGTGAAACCGAATAAAATTCAATAAAAAAACTGTTATTTTAGTGAATATTTTATATTTTGTTATAGTACAGTTTATTCTTTATTATTACAAATATTTGTGTATTTACAATAGGTACATCGAGTTAACAAAACTATACTTTTGGATTTTTTAAAGATTTTTTTTAAATATTTTCATGATAAAATATTGTTTGTAGGTATTTTTTACAAAGTGATATACTATAGTTAAAGGAAAAAAAAGTATATTGGAATAGATATCAACTGACATAACATATCTGAATACTATTGGTATTTTGAAGCATATGAATACAATCGACATCACAAATATTTCGTAAAAACAATTTAACACTTATACCTAGTATTGCATAAGAATATGAACGGACTTTCCCCCCATAACAATGTAGTCTTTAAACAAAGTCTCATTTTCATAGAAATGCGTGTTGCCCTAGTAAAAGAAAGTTAAATTCAATATTATAAAATTTAATAAAAAAAATTATGTACATATAAATAGTAAAGACAATAATAAAACAAGTTTAATTAACACTACATTTGGACTTTGACACAACTTTGTGAGATTCAAGATAAATTTTATAGTAAGACTGTCGTACAGGAATTGCATTACTTTACCACAAGTGTTGCTTTAGTTTAAAACTATATCATCTCTTGCACTGTATGTTTTGATACAAAATCGGTTAAACAATCAAATTTAAAATAGTAAACTTTAATCACCTTAAAACTACGATATTTAATTCACTTTATATAATATCGTAATTTGCAATATATTCCTGAATTTTACTACCACACAACCATCACTAAGCTTTATGTATCCTAATGCACCTTACTTCTAGCACTTATCTTTTAGCACGTCGTGCAAAAACAAATTTCTCATATTATAATAAAAATTACATAATTCTTTATATTTAGTAAAATGCACGGATTTTGTGTTCTATTATTATATTTATGTCTGACAAACACTCAATTGAAAATATATTTTTTATTCATTACGATATTTAAATATCATTCTAGATATTGAAATAGCAGGTTTTATGTAAAATAAATAGGAAATATTTTGAAATCGAGTTAAGTATGAAAAATACATTGTTATTTTGAGTATACAATAATCCATGCTTTAATTCGAGGGCATACTTTTAAGCTGTTTATTCACAACCCAGGTAATTAAAAAAATAAAGGATTTTAGGACACACTGATTATATTTCAATTCATCTCAAGAGTCATCCTCAGCCTTATAAACGAAGTTCGTGCTGTAATGTGCAATATTTACCATTTCTGCGTAATTCAGTCACCTTATAAATTTATATGCTATTATGATACAAACAATATTACAAACAATACATTGACTAGACAGTACCATAGTACCGACAAGCGATACGACCTTATGGCCACTATTGGGTGGAATTTTCATGGAAAAACAGTATTAATATAGGTTATTTTAGGCCTTAAATACACAGATTTAGAGCTCTTAGTGGAATAGCCTCGTTTTTGAACTCACAAGATTAGCGGGTAACGACTATGAAATATAGTTATGTATTTTGTTATGTTTATCTGCAACAATTAGTTTTCAACTAAATCAATAGGGCGCGCTTTATGTCGCATAGTTTAGAAATCTGTGTAGATCATATATTTTAAAAGCACAATAATCAGGACCACCACTAAAAAACTCCTTTAAAGATAACTAACATTTATTTTTAACATTCATCCTTAAACCATAGAACACACCCATTATTATTATTATTATATTACCCTAACTAAAGCCCCTTAGGAGACAGAGCGCTTTAGTAAAATAATTTAGTACTTACAATTTTTCACATGTAGAACACGATTTGAAAAAAATATCAATGTGTTAGAAATTACAGGTAATTTTTCTTTATATTTTAAGTAGTTCCGTTCCCCACAAGTTGAGCGTCCTTCACTGAAACAGAACGAAATATTTTTTGAAACAAGATAAATAGAACATATTATACAGGGTGTCCCGGAAGGTAACAATAACCTGGCATCGGATAAAGACCCCCTTATGATGAGCTAATAAAATTAAAAAAGAGCATTCTAACCACAGTAATAATCAAGTATAATAGCCGGCAAACTTCTTGAGCATTTGTTGACGTAGTGGGGGTAAGTTTGCGCATGGTACACTCACGTGCAAAAACATTATTTACTCTGCCTCATAATGCAATTAAATTATTAAAATCAACATATGTATTTATTTATATATTTATGAGAACATCAACAAAAAATATAGGTTAATAATTGTAATAATTTAATCTTGGGGTAAAATAGATATTCCTTCTATTAAGTCAAAACTAGAGTTGTTGCCAGGTCTTGGTTCAGTTGAAGCGAAGCTGGTATTTGTAATTTTTATTTCGTTATCATAATCTTGACCATCATCATCACTGTTTTTATCACCCGAGTTGCTATCATCGTGATGAGTCGACATAGGGATCATCGGTGTAGTTTACAACTCGGTCGGTTCGGTCTACTTTTTTGTCTATAATTAATTATTTTTTGAAGTTATTCGATTCGTAGTAATCGAATGTAACTTTTTTCAATTACCAGCTTCCGATTATTTTCTGTTTTTTTTTCCATCTGAAGCCTAGCTCTTTCATAATTCGTCGTAAACTTCATACCGAGCCATTAAAATTTATATCTTCTTTAAATTTTTCGAAGCCTTTCTACGGTACGGAGTTTCGCTGCTTGTTATGTAGTTATTANTTGTAATTTATAAACGAATCTAGAGAAATATGTATTTCAGAAACATTCAAACAGTCCAAACTTTACTTATTATATTAATTTAAATAATATAACCTCATACTAGTGTTGACATGACATTCTTCGAACGTAATGAAATTCATGAGAGGACTTTTTACTAGTGGTAGGACCTCTTGTAAGTCCGCGCGGGTACGTACCACCGCCCTGCCTATTTCTGCCGTGAAGCAGTGATGCGTTTCGGTTTGAAGGGTAGGGGAGGCATTATAACCATACTGAGATCTTAGAACTTATATTTCAAGGTGGGTGACGCATTTAGGTTGTAGATGTCTATGGGCTTCAGTAACCACTTAACACCAGGCGGGCTGTGAGCTCGTCCACCCATCTAAGCAATAAAAAAAAGAGATACGTGGTGTCGTGGGACACCGGATAGGAACGAAGTTCCTTATTATAAAAATATTAATTTTAAGTTCTATTCGAGGTATAAAGAAATTAAAACTGGAGGTTTCGCAACAACCCACGGTCATTCGGTAACGTGCGAACTTATTGTGGTACACTTCATTCACGGTTGTTTGCATTATCAATTTGTACGTTATTACAAAGTTAAGTCGTACACTGTGTGCATTACTAATAAAAATCTTACGTTACGGATGTTTTATTCCCGGTTAGGGTACCCCTCCGCATCGTCCCATAAGGAAATTCGTTCCAAAAAAAAAAATTACGGTATGTCCGAGATACGGCAATCTCAGCATCAATTTCCATTGGCGGAAATGACCACCTTTCTTCGGACAGATATTTTTATCGGAATAATATGACTAGTCCAAAAATCCATAACGAAATCACAAGCTTGGTCAATAAGTAACCGTGTTAGAAAAATAACAAAGTACTTAGATCATAGAAAATGATCTATTTCTGTTCAATGATATAATCGGACTTACGAGGCCGAAGTGGACATGATTGAAATAGGTCATAAGGTGCTAAGCCAAGAGCTAGCAAAGTAAGTTTACGTACCGATTTATGTAAGTTTATGTAAGAAAAAAGGCCCAGATGTAGAAGTCCAATGCGCTGGTAGGATCAGTCAGATACGCTCTACCCTCAATATTTTAGTTCACGATGCCATCCACGTAGCCGAGGATAGACTGAGATGGCGTGAGTACTGTTCACGAGAAAGTCATTCAGAGAGGCCACGACCCCCAGCACTAAAGATTAATTGGATTAGGATCGGATAAGAATTAATAAGGAATATCGGAAGAGAGACAGAAGCGATTACAAGTGACAAGTACACACATGCTATCAATGTGATTATCGTGCATTTTTGATACCATCAATAAGCGAAAAGTTTGAAATCTCGAACGCAATGGGTTTCCACTGCTTCCTCTACTTGTGGCTGATGTTGATGAAAAGCAGTTATTGAAACATAAGGTAGCAGCACTAGTGACAAGTTTTATCCCGTACGACTCTCACATTATTGCCAATGAAGGGTTTTATTATTATTAATTGAGTACATGGTTGAACATACTTACTGTGCGCCTAGTGTAATGATGCTACTGGAGACTAAGGACATCAAAACGTAAATGACATCACACACTTTAAAAGATAAGATCGAAGTCAATTGTAACAGGGCTGTACTGTCCTCTGAAATAGATTATTGCTTCTGAAGTAAATAGATTGTTGGAATATACCCATATAAGCCATATGTAATTCACCGCACCACCAGTAGTTAATTTTTTTTTTTCATTTTTTCATTTTATTACACGTCGTTGATACGACTATAGCAGGCGATCCTTCAGGATCCTTAGGATCCTTTAGCGCGATTCATAATGGCTTTTGTGAATGACTTTCTACATTCGGAGTCTGGTAGGACTAATTCTTGTCAAATATATATTTCAAATAGCCATTAAAGGTAAAAATTCTAAATTTCAGAAACATTTTTTATTTATTTTTCCTACATAGTCTTCCTTTTTCTAGCAAAAAATACTTAAAAACAATAATTTTAGTTTCATGTATGGTAAATTAAATGAATATAAATTAATAGAAATATTAAATATCAAAAAATTACTGGCGGTAGGACGTCTTATGAGTCCGCACGGGTACCACCGCCCTGCCTATTTCTGCCGTGAAGCAGTAATGCGTTTCGATTTTAAGGGTGGGGCAGCCGCTGTAACTATACTGAGACCTTATATCTTATATCTCAAGGTAAGTGGCGCATTTACGTTGTAGATGTGTATGGGCTCCAGTAACCACTTAACACCAGGTGGGCCGTGAGCTCGTTCACCCAACTAAACAAAAAAAAGCAACAATTTAAGCGAAGCTGATATTGTAATTCAATATTTCGATGCGAGTTCACAGAATTTATCTCTGCGTAATTACCTAGAGATATATTTAATACGATGGTATTAGCCTCAACAAAACGTTGCTATATCGTCCAAGGTCGTATCGAACCGGATCGTGCATCGGATCGGTGAGCGGCTCAACTGTGAACTATTGTATCGAACTTTCTGTCTTCTATTGTTGTTTAAAATTTTATAAAGAATGTCATAGAACCACACCTCCTTTCGAAGTTCAGGCTGCAAGTCAAAAGGTTTCATTTGGCGTAATTTGCGACCTTGACTTCTGATGTTTCGGCATTGCTTTGAGGCTTACTACCACTAACTTTGTTTTGTTTTAATGCTCAATGAATAAATGAACTCATGTTCAGGTTTTTTGGGGATTGCCTGAGCCCATTGATCACCCACACAGACATAGCCAACGTGAAAATCATTACCCTCCTTAAAACTCATGACCACCTCGTCCAAGTGCCAATTTACTTCTATGGTGGCTCCTCCACCCTTGAAATTGGAACGCGTGGCTTCATGGTAGAAATTGGCAGAATTATTTTATCTATCAGTGCTGACACACAAAACGTCCTACCATTAACAAAGAAGACTTAGTTAAGATTTTGAAGTACGGCCTCTTTTTTTGTTAATTCAATTAACAGTTCATTAATATTTTCTTTTAGTAAAACATGCGTTGTGGTACAAAATTCATGTATAATATGTTATTTATTTATAGTACTAATTTCCTGACTCCGTGAGGCATGAATAAAATCCGCGACCACGAAAGCTGTAAAGTATTCGTTCAATATGTCCGTCGGAATCAATAAACGCGAGATTCGACTGTACAATTAATTTCAATCATACCTGTTCCTTTTTAGGTAGTTCTTGTGCGGGGTCACTACGTGTCATATCTGCCGCTGTGCAGCCGCAACGAGCCGGTGTTTGTGGCGGTGTGCACGCCGCTCGCGATGCCGGAGACCCGCGAGTGCGTGGTGCACGGAGCCACCAACGTCTTCACCACGCTACACGCCATGGACATGAAGATACTCCACGTTGACACCAAGTAAGACCTACATAGAAAGGAAAACAATATTACTGAAAATCCCCAGTACATAGTCTCGTTTAACCCTTTGACTGACATGCAGGTCACCGATGCCGTACGTGGCGCACTGAAGTAATTATGTCAATTTCTCTCTTCAATCTTCTTACTAAGTGGCCGAAATATCAGCAGACTCTGGGAAAGACGAATCTGAAGATAATGAGAATGAATCTGTTTCTAAAAGGCTAAAAATATACATTGAAAACAAAATAAGGAAAATATAGGCAATTTAGGCGCTTAGTAACAGAAATCGATATAAATACCTACTTCAGTGCGCCACGTAGGAAATCGATCATAGCAGTCAAAGGGTTAAAAAATATCATGTAACAAATATTTTTTATTTATTAGGTAAGTACATAACTTCCCTTTACGTTAAACTCTTTGAACTCTACAGAAAAAAAAAACACAGTATAGATATACCGGTGTCAGACAAAAATCTGATGAGCCATCAACGAAAAACAATCAACAACATTTGCATAACAAAACATAACATTAGTGCAACACGTGTCCTTACGTCTGATACGATCTACGACCTACACCGATGCTCAAACAAACATTTGATTCACAAGAACGTTTCCTCATGCAAACCTAATGTTCTCCAGTTCAAGGCCTGCTCTGAACAATGCTAAATTGATGCGTAACTGTCGCCGTTGTGCCGTCGATCAAGCTACTGTATGACAACAACTCTATTGAAAACGTTTCATATTCATAGATGTCACTGTAGCAGCCCTCGATGGCACGAGATAAAGAGGTATTGAAATAATACGCAATGGTAAACAGCCCGGTCAGATGAGTTTGTCACTTGTGCCACAAATAAACTGGCGGTTTTATGCAGCCGCCGCCCGCTTTAGATTTATGGAGGGCATATAGCGAATATTCGAGCGGGAATAATTTAATGTTCATTATTAAACTCGATACTCCTTGAATTCAATAGTTGATAGTCATGGATGGTTTGGAAACACCAATATTTATTTGGATATTTCAATAGCTGAACTACTTATTTTAAGTGATTTTTGGTTCCGATATTTATCACAAATCAAATGTTTTTGGACTCCTCCTGTAATCACCAGTTACGGTTGGTTAATATTTTTAGAACTTAACCCGCCTCTTAGACTACAAGGTACAATTGCTTCGGGCAAAAAGGGACACTATATCATGAATACATGTAATAAATTAACATAGTAAATAAATTCACAATTAATTGTGTCTTGTTAACAAGACCTAGAATAATTCAATACATACATTCTCTCATGAATGTCATAACCAAGTTAACCTCTCGGGGTTCACGAATATCTTGCCACAAGCTTCCGTTGGTTACATTCCGTTGTTTTGCCTGCAAGTCACACATTCTATTGTCTGTATTGATTATTTCTAACGCAACGTTAATGTTTTCCGCAGTATCGAAATGTAAACATGTCACCTGATCGGAAGCGCTTGGCTTTGCATATAATGATACTTACGAGCTCCCATAAATAAACAGTGTAGTCTTTGATGCTTGATTAGATCTCATTATTTTCGTAATACTGCAAGATTGTACTACTCGTGCATGAATTGTATTTTACTGTAAACTAGCCCAATGAGTTTCCCGCCGGATTTTCTCAGTGGGTCGCGTTTCCGATCCGGTGGTAATTTTTGCGAAGCACTGCTCTTGCTAGAGCCAGTGTTAGCAACACTCCCGGTTTGAGCCCCGTGAGGCACCGAAGGCTATAAGGATAGGAAAACTGTAAGCGATTTAAGGCATTTGCCATTTGCCAAAAGACAAAGGCAAAAAACGCAAGGCTTAAATCTATTGTCAAAAAAGGTTACCAACTTTTGCTATTATCACAGAAAAGTAGAATTAAAAAAAAGGTCTTTTAATTACAAAGACACTCAAGAAACTCGTAACTGCTAGATTAATACAGCACCCGTGACATTTAATTAACGATTGATCAATTTAGATTTAACCGAACACCACGGTTTACGATCTTGTATTATACGGAATATACCTTAAACAGATCACGCAAGTATTCGCCGCGCAAATAATGTTCTATTACATGTGGCAATCGTAAACATTATTGTCCTGTCTTTATTTAATACAATACGAGGTTTTCAATGAGCTATTTCTAATAAATATCCATTATGATATACGCATGCGTGATCGTATAAACCAAGGAATGAATTGTAATGTGTTTGCATTGCCTTCGAAAACTATGCTGCCGATTCAAAATCAATGTTTATACAAATAAATAAATTAACATTGACCAAAGCGTGTAGTAATCAAATTCAATGATATATTTTTTTTATAATAAATGCCATATTCATGTATTATGCGGATTTTAGTATGGAGATTTTGGAACGAAGTTCCTTATCGCGCGTTGTGAAAGGGGGCTAGACGGAAAAAATTCTTACGAAAAGTTGTCACGACACTTTTTAGATCCGTCATTCTGACCAATCAACGTGTAGGCGCTTATCGCGTGACATTGCTCGTATCCGATTGGTCCGCGTAATGAGTACAGTTTCTCGAGATAGCGTTTCAACAATAGTAATTTAGTTCATAGTATTGTCTTTTTCTTCTTCATAATGCCGTAATTTATTATTATATCTTTAAAAAAAAATTACAATTCCTTCACTAATTAATCGAAAGGAACTTCGTTCCATCCGGGTGTCCCTTGACACCTCTGAAGTTTTTTTCTTCTCACATTAGAATGCCAGCTCTATTTAATGAATTTAGAATATCCCACTATGTTTTAACCTTTGTTTAATTTATTTCTGAATTTCTTAGCAATCTATCGAAATGAATTCCTACGTTTAGGAGCAATTTTTCTAATCGAGTCGATGACAATTAGACACTTCAACCATCCGTGGGTTTAACGTATAAGTCGTCCGTATAAATACCTACTCGTATATCGATTGTCTTGTTTCTGCCGGGACTAGATTCATAAAATTCAAACAACTATTTTTGTTAAAATAAACACATAGCTAACACGACGTCTTCATGAACAATTTACTTGATGAAAGAATAGCAGCGGGTAATAAAAACCTATACGTTTTCTAATTACTGATGCCAATTAATTGAGAGGACAAATAACTACGGAAACCCTATTCATTTATGCAGCAAAAAAATATAGGTTCTGGTTTAAAGGATTGGGTAATCTTCATGCAATGTTCACATAAGACTGGTTCGAATTCTCAAAATAGGTGATGGCATACACGTTATGATCTCTTTAAACTCGTCTATGAAGTCCTCGTGGCCTAAAGGATAAGACGTCCGGTGCATTCGTGTTGAGCGATGCACCGGTGTTCGAATCTCAGGCGGGTACCAATTTTTCTAATGAAATATGTACTCAACAAATGTTCACGATTGACTTCCACGGTGAAGGAATAACATCGTGTAATAAAAATCAAACCCGCAAAATTATAATTTGCGTAATTACTGGTGGTAGGACCTCTTGTGAGTCCGCGCGGGTGGGTACCACTACCCTGCCTATTTCTACCAGTAATGCGTTTCGGTTTGAAGGGTGGGGCAGCCGTTGTAACTATACTTGAGACCTTAGAATTTATATCTCAAGGTGGGTGGCGCATTTACGTCGTAGATGTATGTGGGCTCCAGTAACCACTTAACACCAGGTGGGCTGTGAGCTCGTCCACCCAGCAAAGCAATAAAAAATTAACAAAAAAAAACGCCAAATTAAATAAATTGGTTTTACTCGTAATTGTGTCTACGACTCGAGAAAATCGAAGAAAAATTTATACTATAGATTGAAACAGTTCATGAATATTCTTGTTTTATTAGTGCTCCAACATGCACGCGAACCATCTCAAGTAAATACAACGTCCAAGCCTTGACACGCAGTTGACCATAACTTTACATATGTTTTTCTAGAAGCTATTATTTTTATAGCGTATTCAAACACGTATTGCCCAATTCTCGAACTTTGTCGCTTGTAATTGTTTCTTCAACAATTTTAATTCACCTTCAAATCGAGAGAGCATTTCAAGTCGTTTGCCAATTAAATTTTATTTAAGTGTTTGCATTTCTTTTAGCTTTAGATGATAGCCACTCCATGCGGGCACTAAATGGCTGGTATCCTCAAAAGTACTCGTAATATAGGTCATTGCTGTTCAAAACTTAGCTTATTTGTTTCTAATAAATAAGATTCTAAATAGAATAATAAGTTGACTTGAAATTATTTTCGTAGGTTTGTTTTTCTATACCCTTATGAAGTTGAGGTCAAGTTCACGCCTCACCTGGTGCGATTTTATTAGGTATTTTTTATAGCTTAGAACTAGTTAAATACCAAAGCCCACAGGTAACCAGAATGCCGTCATCGACCTCATGACATGAGATCGAAATTTCCACTGTATTGTGAGTTAATTGTGTCACCCTTCAAACTGGAACTTGTGATTGCTCCGCAGCTCTAGACGAGATCTTGTGACCTACTTATATGAGTAACAACACTCCATAGGAATGCTGGCAAAGCCCGTAGTGTCTGTTCACGTAATTCCAAACTTTACCTTACGATTTCAAATTAATAATAGCTAAAATTCAATAAGAATAACGAATAAGATTATAATTTAAAAAAAACATTAATACATTACGAAATCAGAAGTAAAACAATAAAATTAAAATCAATAGTCTAAAATCAATACGGAGTTTTGTACCAGACATGACACAAACAAACTTATATCAAGAAGGGTCATCTCGTCTATCAATCATTCGGGAGACCTTGCAAGTTGCAATGGCAAATGATTTCGTGTGTTTGTATTATGACTTCTGTGCTTGTGAATTAATGAGATTGCGGAGTTTTTGTTGTTTAATTATATGTAGGTATCGGCTTAAGAAATGTATTAGAATAAATCGATTCCGGCATATTAAGAGGATGCTTACATTGTGATTTAATTGCATAATTTACTTTTAAAGAGCCACAATAAATAAATAAAACAATAAGAGTTTTTTTTGCTGATGTTTTAAAAATAATAAAAAAACATGCTTAAAAATTATTTTATGTTTATCGATATTAGATTGATCGATTAACAGTGTAGTCATAGAAATTTGAGGGAATTTTGTATAACGCGATCTTCGTGAATGTGGATGTGTGATGTAAAAGTTATCGATGTTGCGTTTCTTATGAACCAATAAAAATGTACTTTTAGTAGTTAAACAAACAAACAAAAAAACCTATGGTCTCAATAACAAATACAGCTACTTCCGACTTCCGAGTAATTAACTACTTTCACCGTGTAATTACGCATCTAATATTTTCATTTTATTTTATTCAATTCCTAAATTCTGACAATACGAATACAGTTTTCGTAGACTGATGAGATAGTTTGTTTGACTTTGGTTGTAATTTTCACGATGAGAGTATCATTCTCTTTATTAAAACTAAGGTACTTTTTTATTTCAATTGCCTCCTATACTATACCTTTTTTTAATGCTTACATGGGTGGACTAAGTCATGGCCCGCCTGATGTTAAGTGGCTGTCAGAGCCGATAATACATGAACAACATAAATGCCACCCCCACCTTGAGAGATATGCTCTGTCTCAGTTTTATAGTATAACGGCAGCCCCACCCTTCAAACCGAAACGCATTACTGCTTCACTGCCAAAATGGACGGGGTTGTGGTACCTTCCACCCATGCATTAAAAAATATGTGGAATTTATTTGTCTGGCTTTTTAGGGAGTATATGAATCTTGTCAAATTATATAAATAGTAAACGCGTCAAATAATAAATTGAACCGTATAAATAGTATAAAGTTAGTTAATTGTAAAAAGGAATTACAAGAATACGATGTATTATTAGATCGAAATGCTTACTTAATTAAAATTCTGTTTTTTTTTGTCCAGTAGCGAGTGGCATTTAGGTTGGGAGCGAAGTTCATTGCACGGAGTCAGCTGGTACCACCTTCTCCATCCTGACTGCTGTAAGGAGGCACAAAGCAAGCATCGATTAAGTAAGTACACAAATAAGTATATCGTATCACTTTTAGATATTTTCTAAAGTATTAAGTAATATCAATAACACCGATATATGTATATCTGTGTTGCAAGAAAATTGTCGTCCATTTTACAATCTAGTATTTTCCTCTTTCTTAGAATATCCAGAATTTTTGGCGGGAACGCGAGGAGTGAAGTTCTGTGATTTGTTTTATTTTGTCTATTTAGTGTTTCTTCAGGTTAAAATATGTAATAACGGTGGCTTATTGACTGTTTAAAACCTGTGAAAGTGCACAAATGTGGGGAAGTGAAACAAAGCCGCTGGACATAACTTCTCGGGATCCTCCAAAAAGTCCACTAAAAAAATCTCAGAAAATGACCACCATTTTACTGAGATTATATTTCATCGCATATCATCTCATTTCATTTCATTTCATCACAGTTGATTAATGTCTCAAATTAAGCATACGTATTCATTTCATTTCACTCCATATTATCATTTTTCATAAGAATAAGAATATAAATTATAATAAGACATGACTTAAAGGTCTTAGTTACCAGGTCATAAAATCCCTTTAAAATTAAAATATCCAACTTCAGAATGAATTGATATTAACTCAAATGGCTCGAGCTCTTCCGCGCATTGATACAGATTAGTTACAGCGGCAAAGGGTATCTGCTATTTCCACATGTTTCGCAAAATGAAATCTACAAGGAAATCAGTGATGTTTCGATAACCTAAGACAATACACATTAGCGTGCGTTATCTGTAACGCTACATTTTAGGGAAAGTTGTGTTTATGACGTGACTGTCGTGTGTGAACAAAACTACGTGAGAGATTAAATCGTATTAAATACTGTTATGTTGCTGATTTTGTAATCTTTACTCTGTGTAATTTTATTTTTTTGGCCAACCTTAAAGGCGCCAATTTTTGTGGTATTCTTTGGAAGTCTTACTTGCATTAGAATAATGGATCTCTTTACTTCAATCTGACACGCATGCTTGCTGCGTAAAAATACTCACAGCAACGTCGACTAGTGATTGCCATAGAATAATTGTTTTTAAAATCTATAGCAGGTCCACTGCTTAAGGTTTTTGCATATTTCAAGAATCAGCTTATAAGCTTCATCACGTCATAAATATCTGTGTCATACATGTGTGCGTATGTGTGTGTGTGTGTGTTGCAGTGTCTGATAAAGAAATGACAAAATAAAAGCCAGCAAAATTAAAATTCATCTCACCACTTTGTGTTTGCAAAAATTTGTTTCGTGAAAACATTTCTTACGTGAAATCAAGATGTACTTGATGTTTTCTTCATAAAGTATAAATGTTTATTACATTTACTATTACTTTTAACTGTAAATGTACTGTTTATTGAGCTATAAATAGCGCAGTTTTAAACGTCAAACATTTAACATTATTGAGTAATTTTAATTGTGATAGTAACTAATGAATGAGAAATAATCATCGACAATGATCCCAAAGAATTGTAAAGAAAACTTCGAAAGATGTTTATAGCGATATTAGTAAAAACGATTTTTAATCATAAAGGCAGTTTAATGGTAAGCCCAAACCCCATAAATATGATGTTTTCTTAGCACTAAACACTATTAATGGCTGCTGTTTCCGCGTTTTCACTGAAAACATCGTACATAATATTTCCAACACCTTTCTCGACTAATTCCCGAGACATAAATTAATCGGCAGTAAAAGTTATGTTTCATTCATTCGAGATTTACACCTACATATAACCGTCAGATTTAGAATTAGTTCTATTTACATCTGCACTGTTAAATCATGCTTGAAAGCGTAGGCTGATTAGCTCTGTACACTAATGTTAGTTAAAAGGCTTTTCTGTTGTTCTGAGCATACACGAAGCTCACGATAGCTCACAGATTCACAAGTCCACAAGAGTTACCGAAACTGAAGCCTAAAGATGTCACAGCGTAAATGCCTCGACCCATATTTAGATTTAAGGTCGTCTCAATTATATTTGGTAAAGACTGTCCTTCAGCTTAAAGTGCATGACGATTTCACGACTAAACTATTCAAGTTCATTTCCTTTCATTCCGTATTTGAAGTCATTACTATCCATTTCCCTTTTCATACAGCAAACATAGCTTCAAAATTCATAAAAATATTTGGTTGTTATGGGCTACGTTCCCTTTGCCTATACAACGAACGAATCCATCAATCTAAATATAATTAATTTAAGCACGTTTAAAAATGAAACGTATCTAGTAAATTATAACCTTATTTCAAAAATAAAACCATTCACCAACATTCCGAAATAATAAATTAATTAAATCAAACATGAAAAATGTACGGTCGGTATCAATGAATGTATAGACGCAAAGATTTGCGCCATCGAACGATTTCAATTGAAATCAGATAAGTCGAGGTATTAGCATTCGTTTCCATTCTTTGCGACAGTACACAATGAATTTATTAACGTTTTCGATCAGATATAGGAATTCTATTAATTACTATCGTTGCGGTACGAGTAGGTACTTCGAATGGGTGTCTTATTTACATATCGCGTTGGCACAGTTTTATTACATACGTTTATAATGGTCATTGAGGCTTGATTAAATATTTAAGGTCGTTCCTGTGATAATAATTGTTTTAAGAGCTTGCGTTTATTTTTTAAGAGCAAATCAAATTAATTCCAATTTTAAACCTTGCCAGTGGTCAAATGTTGGTACTGACACTTTTTTTAAGGGATTTTATGACCTGGTAACTAAGACCTTTAGGTCATGTCTTATTTTAATTTATATTCTTATTTTTATATGGTACTGACACTTTGATATTTATAAAATAGATTATAAACATACGTATTCAATGACTACATGAGACTCTAGGGCGGTAAAAACACTAAAATTTTAAAAATCATAAAATAGTTACGGTACATCTATTTGTAAAAACAAACTACTACAGGCACCTTCAATGAACGAAACTTCAAAAGTCAAGGTGCTTGTCGAAATTGGGCATCCAAACAAAAAAGAACGGATAAGTTTGACACCTCATTGACACACAGAAAAGGAATTCTGGGTCTAAGCTACAAGCAAATAAAAACTAGAATGCTCTGAAATCTATACTTGCATTAATCTGTCGTAGAGAACCAAATTTGATAAGTCCAATTTTAACAAATCACACTCAATCGAATCTCGATTGTTATATAATACATGGAACAATTGATATTTTTTATTATCGCTTCACGATAATGTCAGACCACAAAAAAATTCGAACAAGTATCAATTTATTGGAGTGATGATTTTTACAATAAAAAATGAATGTACACACATTAATAAAACACAGTGCACGTGGACTGTTTTTGTGTACTTGTTTTAGCAATAACTTGTGTGATCGAAATTACCATAGAACTAAACATATTTTACGAACATTATGTATCTGAAATAAAAATAGTAGAACATTTTTCTGGGCCTATTAAACATCCATCTTAAGCAGAGATCTACGATATACTGAAAGACGCGATGAAAATTTACTTTTCTGTTTTTGCTAGTGTTATAAACTCCTTAACCACCAATGTCGTAATTTGTTTTTTTGATGGATTTTCCGTGTACATTTACATGTACAGATGTTCTGGCCAATTTTAAAATGATGCCCTAAGTATCAAGTTAGACTAGGGCTTGAATTTTCTAGAAGATAATATAATTCACGAGTTCGCGAGAGTTCGCTTTGGTTTAGTAAAATTTGAATTTATTAAGTTTACTAAACACGTACGTACAAGTATTATTATATGAAATTAATAATATTATAGAAATATTTTCCGTACATACGTACCTAAAAAATAACGCTTGTAAATGTAAACTTAATCTATGAAATTTTGAACATTTTTTAGTTTTTATCGTTTATCACTTCAAACTATTTTACCAATTTTAATAATACTTGAAGCGTATTTCTTATTTCAAAGCCCTTATTTAAAAACAATTTAGGTTGGCGGTGAGATTGACGTTTTTTTAAAGTCCGTTTAAATGATTTTAACACCAGATGGCCTGTAAGCTTCTCTGATCACTTACTGCAATTAAAAAACACTTTTCTTTTAACAGTTACGCAATCGGAACAAGAAAGGTCCTGCATTGCACTGCTCAGGCTGCAGAGGAGATCTGGCCAATTCCTGTGGGTCCACACCGTGTTGCAGCTCAAAGACAATCTGGAGAACTCGCAGCGACCGCTGATAGTCTGCACCAATCAGGTTTTGAGGTTAATATTTCCAGAAATTTCATCCTTACTAACATGCGGATTACTTAGAAAAATGTTTATTTGGGAGGTTTAACGACAAAGGGAAGATATTACACCGGCGATATAGCTCGGTAGACTGACAGTCCGAAAGTTCTTGTTTGGCACTTGTAAATATATAAGCTTATCTTGAAAATTTTTGCTTGTAAGCGAAATTCAGACTTCAGTCTGCTGTATGATAGCTACCGCCACATTTACAAGACACGCTATCTTCGGCAATTCGTAATGTAAATGCATGTCATGTGAAAATAATTTAATTTTAAAACTTAATAGACTTGAGAAGTAGTTATTTTTCTAGCTTGAATCTTCTCAGCGCGTACCCCGAGTCTTAATGATTTAAAGTAATTGTAATTACTTCTAAATAAATGTACATGTAATTTTTCTCCAACGCGTTAAGGGGATCCCTCTCCGGTTCTGGTCGAAAAGCACTTAGTTATCCCTTTATATTACGACAACAGGCAAGAAACCCCAAAGACCCAAATCACTTCAACATTCTACCAAAGAGACCCTTTAATCTCCACAAAAGATCCTTAAGCCGCAAAACTCTTCGAACTAATTGGCTCTAAAGGCTATAGTATTAAACGGACCGATAATTCTTCGGCTCACGGCACGCTTTTGACTTTGAAAAATTACGGCTATAACTTAACACGGTCACTTACAGACTTCCCTATTGAGATATCAATAGTAGATGACGTTGTACGACGCGCGGCTCTCGCGGAAATGTGCCCCATACCATAGGCTCAGCGAGAAGTCGACGAGAAGCATAGGGTTTTAATTTTCTTATTCACACTTTTACTAAAGAGTTACTAATCATTCTCCTAACTTGATTTAAAAGGAACAATTCGAAAAAAAGGTATTAAGGTATTCGAGCTAAAGTAATGGTTTTTTAACTGCCTTCGTAAGCATGGTGAGACATCACAGTCGCAATGTCATAGATACCAAACCAAGTCACCGCTAAGAACTCTCTTTGGACCTCATTTCATCGTACTGAGGAAAAACTTGAGTGACATTTATTCCAAAGACGGATGGTACGTGGAAAAAGTGTCTCTAGAAGCACATTTATGGATTAAGTCTGCGCCGGTGGCGAGTGGCGTGATGATTAAAATAAGATGACGGTATCAACCCAAACACTTTCACTGGCGGTAGGGCCTCTTGAGAGTCCGCACGGGTAGGTACCACCACCCCGCCTATTTCTGCCGTGAAGCAGTAATGCGTTTCGGTTTAAAGGGCGGGGTAGCCGTTGTAACTATACTGAGACCTTAGGACTTATCTCAAGGTGGGTGGTGCATTTATCTTGTAGATGTCTATGGGCTCCAGTAACCACTTCACACCAGGTGGGCTGTGAGCTCGTCCACTCATCTAAGCAATAAAAAAAAAACAATATCCTCAGAAAACTCTACGCGAGCTACTTAGCGTGCAACTCGAACGTGGTTCTATAGTTTAGTTTGTTAGAGAATAAATATTGTAAGGGGGTGATTTATTGAGCCAGAACCGCTCCGGAGTCGATCGGGCCGATGTTACTATCGACCCGGTTGAAATATGCCCGCAGAGAGCTATTGTTGTGATGTGAGAAACTATGTTTAACAAGCGCCGCAGTTGATCGATGGCGCCCTTGGTAACACCCCGGCGTATTTCATTGCAAAATGGTACGGTTAAATTATTATGTCAATTTTTTCAGAGCTTACACGAGTCGAGCTTGAAATAATTGTTTAGTTTGATCGATTAAAAAAGAACATTAAAAATTATCTGATTAAACGACCCTGATGAATAATAAAACAAATTTCAACAATTACTACTTCAAGTTAGTTTTTTTCAATGGGGTAAATGATACGCTTGAGTATAACTACTAAACCATAATTATACTACATCAGTCTTGAAATTCATTTTTGTTAGGTAATTATAAAATTCAATTGTTTTAATTTAATATCAAAGATAGGTGTAGCTGCTTACACATCTGTAAATTTTATTTTAAGCAATGTGGTATTAATGAATAGGTAGACATCTACTTGTTAAGTAAGTTAAATCGCATTGTTCACCTGACACCTTATTACGTCTTTCAAAACTTTCTATTGTACGTATTTCTAAATTTATTACTCTATTCAGTAATCCAGATTAGGTTGAGTCAGTGTAGATAAGAATCAGTGCCAACAAAATCATTACCACAGAGGGCAGGCGACACACAAAATTAAATAAATTACTATAAACAAGAGTACACACTGTTGCAAAAATTCAATATCGAATTTCCAAATTTTATTAAAATATTTAAAGTATACGCAGTGATTTAATCGGTTTACGTAAGTCGTAGACATAATTAAAACCACTTTAAAAGGTTAATCTTCCGTTTTTATTGTCATTGTATCATTTATATCATATTCATTGGCGCATTTACGTTGTAGATGTCTATGGGTATCTCCAGTATCATTTAACACTAAGGGGGCTGTGAGCTCGTCCACTCATCTAAATAATAAGAAAATAAAAATAACTAACTTCAACTGCTGCCCAATGTAATATTGTTACACGTTTGCTTGTAACGTCTGGTTAGACGTTACAAGAAAACAAAGAAGACTTTTAAATTTATGTATATAATTTAACCAAATTATATACATAAATTTATTATAATTAATAATTAATATACATAAATTTGGTTAAATTATATAGATAAATTTAAAAGGCTTATTTGTTTATTTTTACATACTAATCTATTTGTTTACACATGACTTATTCGATTACTACAACTTTAATTGTCCTTCTGAAAAGGTTTTTAGAGTATGTACTAATTTTAAAGTTTTTTTTTATAAGTACCACACATTTGACATAGGTTTGAGATACAATGAAATTCAGCCAAACCTATATAGATTGCAGAGTCGACACCTGGAAAAAATGTTTAATTACGATTTGAAATTATTTAACCGACAAACGAAGAATAAACAGTATGATACAAGCTTTACCGTAAGTAGTGACTGGTTAGCATATTAGATAGTAAATCTAAATTAATTTGAATGGGTGAGTGGGTGACAGTGCGGTCAGAACTAAACAATCAAATAGGACAAAGGGCGGTGGCGCGGCCCTTCAGTGCACGGGCCAGTGATATGTGACGGTCCAAGTCATAAGCGGTTCTTGTTATATGGAATTCATATTTTATAATAGTTTTTTTTTCTTTATTTCCGATATCTAATTATATAATTATTTGATACTAGGCCAAATAAGTGGTCTTACATTAGATATCCTCAAATAGAATTTCACACCCTAACATCTTCTTCTTGCGTTTAATCTTAAGCACAGACATAACTAGCCTAGGTTTTAATTTCTTTTTCATTTTTTGGGTACACTCGCTGACAGCCCAGGTGAATGCAGTCGGTCACTTTGAAACATGAGGTCGTAGTTACAATTGAATTACATTACGACTGTTCCACCCTTTAGATCGGAATGCATGACCACTTCGCGAGAGAAATAGGCAGGACGTTAGCACCTTGCCATGCGGGCTTACAATGTACTACGAGTACATATAATTTAACATGAAAGTTAATTAGAGGCCTACCATAGTCTGGCATCTCTGAAATTAACCAGTATAAATATGGAGCCGGTTGTTAAGTCAGGAGAATGGACGACTCGTTGCACACTTCTGTATCGATTATACCCTTTCTTCCTACAATAGAATCTTTCAAACGAAAATAGATATTTAATTAAAAGGTCATTCATCAAGATTTTTCTAGAATAGACGAACGCATAATCTGCTACGTATATGGTATTCAGCGAGAAGTCCAATGCGGAAAAAAAATCACCTCCCAAAATCGTACACGGCCAGATAAATACGCTGGCTCTCATCACTTGATTTCACACCCACGCTGCGGTGTTTATAAATCCGTTCAGTTCACAAGCCGGGTTGCATTGTCACTTGGATTGCGTTATTTGTCACTTTTGTCACGTTCCTCTGAACTAACAAAACAAAATTACGTCACGTGCTCCGAGAATATTTTTTTTTCCTTTCATAGTAGATCCGATCACGATGACCGAAATCATAAAACAAATTTTAATGTTCAGTGTGTTTGTCTTTTAAGTATATTTACAATAAATATACTTAATTTGTCTTTTAGTTTGACAAACTTTTTTCGTGTCATCTAAAATGCGAGTTTAAATAAAAAAAATACGACAAACTGAAGTCTATATTGTATTTGGTACCTTCTATTAATCCCTCCAGCCTGTACCATTTTAATTGGACTTCGTTATTTTAATAGAAATCCATTTTGTAAATCATCATAGATCTATCTATCCAGTATGTAATCAATCCATTACCACTCTCTAGCTCGGGGATATTCGTCCTCCAAAAGTCGCTGGTGCTACTACTCAATCCGTCTCTAATAACAGCATTCAGGCTTATTTTCCCATTTAACTACAAAACTATTAGCCCTTACCTATAATGAGTATGTACTCAAATTCAAATTCAAATTGAAAATCATTTATTTCAACTTAGATGTCAGTATAGCACACTTGTTGAATGTTAAAATATAAATAACAATGTTAACTCTACCACCGGTTCCAAAAAAGGTACCTACTAACTAAAGCTAAAAACTATTATGTTGTACCCTACAATCTCACATATTTTGATACCACATACGGTTCTGCGTATTTCTACCGCGAAGAAATACTACAACCGAGCAGATCATCCGATGTATCAAAACAATTAAGTATTCTTGTTGTGATATTTTTGAGCTGCGATAATCTCTTTAGATCAAATGGACATTGAGCTCGCACTTTGAATAGCATTATCCTAAAATCAGTTCTCAAACATTATTTTAGAGTATACGCCTTGAATTAATCGAAGCTTATTTCTAAAGGAAACATAGGTAGTATTGAAATATATTTTTTTATCTTTTTATTTATTTATTTTTTGTTGCTTAGATGGGTGGACGAGCTCACAGCCCACCTGGTGTTAAATGATTACTGGAGCCCATAGACATCAACAACGTAAATGCCGCCACCCACCTTAAGACATAAATTCTAAGATCTCAAGTATAGTTACAACGGCTGCCCCACCCTTCAAACCGAAACGCATTACTGCTTCACGGCAGAAATAGGTAGGGTGGTACTTACCCGTGCGGACTCACAAGAGGTCCTACCACCCGTAAAAACATTGGATATATCTTGAAAAACATTGTTGTACTCAAAATGCTAAAATAGTCTATCCGTTTTTTGTATTGGTTTCCGATACGCATTTTGTTTGCGATATGTAGAACGACTGCGTATTGTCGACATGTCTCCCGCCTACATCTTGCCCTTCAGATTTATGCGTTTGGCTGCGCGGACGCACAAATTGGCCAGGGAGGGCATACCGGATTGTGTGATTAAATTATAATCACATTGAACTAGAATACACAGAACGAGCATTGTATGTTAAAATTCGAGAAAATAAGGAATAGATTTCGTATAAACTTAGTAAAGCAGATAGGTAATTTCGTTCAAAAAGATTACACAAGTTATACCTATAGGTATTTAGTTATATTTTTTTGTGTGTCATCTGTTAGTTTATCTAAGTATTCATGCTAGAGTATTTTGAACTCTAAGCTTTATGTGTTTAAAATCATTTTATTTTATTTCACTACGATCATGAGAGCCGATGGATATATACAATGAGCTTTCCTTTTATTATATTTAGTGTTCAATATAGACGAAATTTGAGGCAGTATTAACGAGCCTTCATTTTATTCTATAATATTTAGTGTTCAATATAGAAAAAAGTGCGGGTAGTATTTTTATGTGGTAAATTAACCATTTCATTATGGTAACTCAACGTCCACACAATAAAGTATTTCAAGAAATGAATCTGGAGGATATGTAATTAACGACAAAAATATAAAGATACTTTATAATTTTGTTTTAATGAGTGAAAATATTTTATTAAAATTAAATGTTGCCCTTCTAGTATGACAGTTTATCGGTGGCAGTCAATATCGACATCCGAGATCCCATTTACTTGGGAATGCATAACGAGCGCCGTATTAAAACTAATACAATTAAGATGAATGCTGCGGAAAGCTTGAATCTTTACCGGGGAAGGTTTTTTGCATTTCGTATTCACAAACAATCATTTAATTCAAGCTATTTAAAAAAAAACTCAACAAAAAAGAATAAAATGAATGTACCTCCCCCGTTTTTTAGACTAAAAAACAAAAGTTAATGAAGCATTATTACTCATACACTACAGGATGATTTACGCATGTTCCTGGAACGACGCGTTCGCGATTATCGTAAGCGAATTTTTCGAGAACGCTTACGAGACACGCACTCGCGTCGATCGGAATTCTTATAGATTCGTAACAAATGTATCAAATTTCGTGACTACATCATACAAAGCATATTCATTTCCGGTGTCCCGAAAATAAATTTTGTTCGAATAAACACTGGATGAAAATCTTGGAAGGTTACAGAAATAGGCATAGCACTCAATAATAATATGATACGTTATTTTACGATGTAAAATAAAAAAAAAAATATGATTTCGAAAACGCGAATTCAGTTTTAACTAATAAAGTATCTAAATAGGACAATGGTATGTTTGAAGATTTTAGAATTTAGAGAATCTACACAATAAATAACCAATAAACGAACATTACTTGGCGAGGTCAAACTTATTAATGGGAAATCTAGCTAAAAAGTGGAACAGAAGCAATGATAGAAGAAAACAAAGAGTCTTGAAGCATAACTTTTTTACTAGTTACCTTCAATATTTTAAGCGGTGTGTATTAATTTTTTTTTTTTAACTTAGCGTAAATATTTTCAAAAACCTTCGCCCGCAAAAGTGCCCTTTTGATTTCCTGTTAACAAACAGCCTTCGCGCTGTTATCTCTCTCACCCAAAGCGAATACGAAAGCGATTTGTCGTCGTCCAACACATATCTAAACTTTAATGTACACTCGCAAACAAATTGCACCGAAATAATTTTTATTTTTATTTATTGCTTAGATTGGTGGACGAGCTCACAGCCCACCCGGTGTTAAGTGGTCACTGGAGCCCATAGACATCTACAACGTAAAAGCGCCACCCATCCTGAGATATAAGTTCTAAGATCTCAGTATAGTTACAACGGCTGCCGCACCCTTCAAACCGAAATGCATCACTGCTTCACGGCAGAAATAGGCGAGGCGGTGGTACCTACCCGCGCGGACTCACAAGAGGTCCTAATAATCCTAAGTAAGTAATATGGCAATTTTTCTTTCAAAGTATAAATCTAAACCTTCTTTATCCAATGTTTATACGATGTAAATAATCTTCAATGTATACTAACTACAAAATAACTCGTGTGTATTGTACACAAATTTTGTACATAAAATTTTACTTTCCTGGTCAATACCCAGTCTTAGTAATTACTTTTCTATGCATAACTTTACAGTTTTTTTCAGAACTCCAGTGGTAAATTAGAATTCAAAATTAAAGCCTTGATCTCATAAATGTTATAGGCATATGTATCCTTTCACTGTACCATTTTCTATCCTCATATATCGTGGTAGAAATATTAGCACAAATTAGTTCCCCAAAATCAATGAATATGGTGTAGTCCTCGCAAGGAGGTACCTTGCCGTCAGGATGAACGTAACCATATCCTAGCTCTAGCGGCTTGCTTGATTCGAAATGAATGAGTATAAATATTTTTTTAGACACAACGTCAATCACAAACAGACGGCTGAACTGACGTGACAATGACATTTGGTGCGCTAAACATGGCGGATTTTCGGCCTCATTAGACATTTACGTATATTCATGTTGCATTTTATGTATGCACTGAAATACTGTTATATTGTTTTCCTGCGAGTTACAGTGCTGAGTAAGAACGAGATAGATATATGTTTATGTGTGTGCCCTCAAAATGGGTGCTATTTTTATGTAAGCAATTGTACGTATAGAACAATATGTCGTGCCCCTACTATATTGGTCTATGCTGAAGTATGAAACCTATCTATGACGTCAATGCGTTCGATGACATTTTTTGTTAACTGTCACGACTTTTTTTTTAAATAAAAACGTTTTCAACGCCACTGTACGATTGTTAGTCCAGGGCTTAAGTCCAACTATTTGACATTTTCCTGCATCCACTATCTAAAGGTTGCCAGCGCAAACGCTGGGTTAGGCACCTTACACTAAAGGTTACATTAAATACAAATTCAAAACTGTTTCTAAAGTTATTTCGTTTATTTCCGTCTTCATTGCCTTAGTACATATGTCTTATGTGCATCAATAATTAAGGTAAATGAAAATTTTATTCATATGTAGTCTACATATTATGTAGCATTTCAAAAAACATTCAAAATCAAATATAGAACTTTTATAATTTAATAAATTACAGCAGACTTTAAGATCCCTAATCTATTTATTGCCGCCTTAACTTTAACAATGCTACAAATAACGCAAAGAAATACTTAATATAAACATTAAACTTTAGCGGTCACATTTTGTGTTGCCGTAATGGGTGAACCGTGTAACATCGTTTCTGCTCAATTGATGCCAATTCTTTCTCTTTATTACCGATGAACGTTTAAAAGTTATTTAAATTGGATACTTGTGTTCGTAATAATTATCTTAAATAATGCTAAAGATACTCCGGCTGCGAGAGTGCTTCGCAATTTTATTAATTGAAAATATTGCAAAATTCTTACAAACTTGCGTAAATAAGTTACTTTAATTAGTTATTAGTTTAAGGCTTGAGACACACTAAAAAGTTGAATTCCATTATAACTCGGGGATTCTAGGCGATGTCCAATTTCAGAACAGTGGCTTATATGAGAGATAAAGGGTGTATTTTATCACTTAGATAACCTTAGATAAAATTAGAAAATCTTCCAGATTACCCTTTTTCACACTGGATAATTCTGAAAAAGTCATATGCCTAATAAATTTATTTACCTTTGCCTCATTTGATCGTAATGGAATAAATTATTATGTTACTTTATGTGATTCAAAAACGATATCATAAAAAACGTCTGCTTTAATCAAATGCTCTTAGTGGTGGTAGGACCTCATGTGAGTCCGCGCGGGCAGGTACCACCACCCTGCCTATTTCTGCCGTGAAGCAGTAATGCGTTTCGATTTGAAAGGTGGGGCAGCCGTTGTAACTATAGTTGAGACCTTAGACCTTATATCTTAAGGTGACTGGCGCGCATTTACGTTGTAGATGTCTATGGGCTCCAGTAACCACTTAACACCAGGTGGGCTGTGAGCTCGTCCACCCATCTAAGCAATAAATAAATAAAAAATGCGGCAGGTACTTCATATACTTAAACGTTGATTGTCAACAGTGAACATGAAGCAGCAGTAATGAAAGCGAACCCTTGGCTCTACCACTACTACGCTGTCCAATCGAAAATCCACTACGGGCTCGCCTACGAAGCGGCAACCAGAATGTACGGACCTCCGCCTCCGGACCTACAAGTTTACCCGTCGGCGGTTCAATATACACCGGCTCCACCAGTCTGTATCAACGGAACCCAACCGATGGTTATGCAACCTGGGCTGCAGACTCCCATACCGCATGTGCCAACTCATCTGACTCCAATGCACTACGCCTACGATAGATCAGACACAGGACCTGTAGATTATTCCGTCTCATTACAAGAGAGCAGGTATTTGATTAAATAATTTAATTACTTAATATCTGTTCAACCTCTACACAACCATCTAACATTACTACTGTATAGAACGAAATCCGTAAAACATCAGAGTGTATCAGATAAGGCTAAATAAAATAAAATACATCCAAATTAATTGACTATTAAATTAACATCATGAAACTTGACTAAAAGCCTAAAACGAATGAACATTGTACTGTATAAATGCATTTTATTTAATTTACTTAATTAGGAGCCTTCATTAAAGTACACACAAAAATTGCCATATCACACAGCTCATCTGTATGTAACTTATACTGATTGTGGATTACATAAAAAACTACAACAAAAAATCATAAGAAACTTGGCAACACAAATTTATAACAATACTAATACACTATTCATAATATGTGGGTATAAGATACCATGAATTTGGATACGATTTGAGTAGGTACCTAGATTAAATAGTGACTTTCATATTCAATGCAAACAGTAAATATGTTAAGCCACCAGAAAAAAAAAACTAACACAGATGCGTGAACCTTTAACTTTTAATGAGATACAATCGCATCTTAATGGGATGTCCTAGAAACAGACTAATTGCACCAAGACCTTGTGGCATCAAAGAGTTTGTACTGAGCACTATTAGCTCGCTCTCGTCATTTACATATCTAATTACAATCTCAGTGGTTAGTTTAGCTAAAATTCCGCATGTTTAACATTAGATTCCCATTTCAGGTACCACAATATACGGGTAGAGGATACCAGGATTCAGTCTAATGCTAAACGAAAAGGAAAAAACGCTGAGGAAAAGCCCAGTACGCCTAATTCCAATTTATCTCCCAGGTGCACACCATCAACGGTTACATCCGGTGGAGATATTTTGGTAGCCGTATCTGCGGGCTCGATTGCAAGTAGACGCCCTGGTTCTAAAAACTTTAATATCACTGAAACCGAAATAGTCGACCAGTGGAATCCAAGTCCGACATGGTCCGAGACGGCACTTCAGAAAGTTCCTGATGTTTGTCACCAAGATTTAAGTCCATATGTGACTACAACGCCTCCGACACCCACAGGCACACCCTCGGCGTACACACACAACTACAGCCATACATTTGTTTTCGACTGGTCACCAGAGCAATATGTTCCTCATACTAACAATAGATGTAATACAGTGACAACGGAAAGTTCCTTTCAACAGACTTGGAATAGAAGTCAAAGAACATTCGCTAATAGCGGAGAGAGTTCTGTAGATGAGATTTGCAATACTAATAGGTTAAGTTTAACAATGAGGGTCAGTAATCCACCGCCTTACAATGTAACCAGCGAAGGGGAAATGCTTAGGAGGCAGATAGGTAAGTTTGAATAACATAGGTATAATAGCCGGCAAACTTCTTGAGTATTTGTCGACGTAGTGGGGGTAAGTTCGCGCATGGTACACTCACGTGCAAAAACATTATTTACTCTGCGTCATAATGCTATTAAATTATTAAAATCAACGTATTATCTATTTATTTATATATTTATTAGAACATCAACAAAAAATATAGGTTAATAATTGTAATAATTTAATCTTGGGGTAAAATAGATATTCCTTCTATTAAGTTAAAACTAGAGCTGTTGCCAGGTCTTGGTTCAGTTGAAGCGAAGCTGGTATGCGGTCTTTTTTTTTGTCTATAATGAATTATTTTTTGAAGATATTCGATTCGTAGTAATCGAATGTTACTTTTTTCAATTACCAGCTTCCGATTACTTTCTGTTTTTTTTTCATCTGAAGCCTAGCTCTTTCATAATTCGTCGTAAGCTTCATTCCGAGCCGTTAAAATTTATATCTTCTTTAAAATTTTCGAAGCCTTTCTACGATACGGAGTTTCGCTGCTTGTTATGTAGTTATTATGATTACAGATTGAACGAAACTATCCATTCCAGTAACTTTCTTCTTCCCTGATCTTTTCTTACCCGGAGTCCGAAACACGGCGAGCAAGCCAGAGCCTTTAGCTTCGTTAATAATGCACCTAACAGTACTCACTGATGTTTTTCTTGCTTCCGAAGTCTGTTTTACTTTTTCCATATCATTCTTCCCCTGTTTTATAATGAAGCAATATACGTCGTACACAATTTTTCTACCCTTTCTTTTGAATACTACACCAGTTTGTCGCGGCATAGTGTATTTTTTATAAAAAATCAACAAACACTCAACAAATAGCAATGGCAACAAAGTCAACAAGCAATTATAACAAATAACTTAACGATTAATAACGATAGACTTTTCACTGTACGCAAGCGTACTTTTGGGAGCAAGCGGAACGAGGGCGCGGTGCGGGACGCAAGGTTCGACTGATCTACCAATAACGCGCTCGATACGATTTCCCCTGCCGTCGCGCCTCACCCTCACCACCAAAGTGATCTAAAATTCGGTTCTGCGCAGTCAAGGTCATTTGCTCAAGAAGTTTGCCGGTTACTATAACTAAATAAAAAATAGTTTAAAAAAAATTGTTAAAAAACATTCATTTACAATTTAATGTTTTAAGTTCATTTTGTTTTGTTTTCATAGATCGTGGACATCCCGATTCCCCGGATGCGAAAAAGCCCGCATTATAACTATTACCTGTATAATGACATTTTAATTTTAGTATCATATTGTTTTGTTACCTGTAATTATTTTATATAATTATAATGTTGAATAGAAGAAATACTAGCTCTGGAACTCTCCTGTGATCTTGTATTATATGAATAAATATAATTTGTGTATAGTAGCAATTGTACATAAAGAATTACTGTTTACGTAAAATCGTGAGCTCTAGGATATCATTGAAAGTAAATAGCGTTGAATTTATAATATTGCGTTTATGTGTCAAAAGTGTTTTTTACGGAAGATGAAATATCTTTTCCATTTTAAAAGTTTTATCGGTAAAGATACTTTTGAAGTCCGCTGTCCTAAACATTTTTTACCGTGGTACTTATAGTAAGGAATTCTCACTTTAATTTTGTTAAATAAGTAGGTAGGAGTAAGTACTTAACGCGTTTATTCGCTTAGTGCGTTTTTGTTTTATTTGTAAACATTGTTAATGTATATTCAACTTGTTTTAAATATTTATCGAATTAACTTGTGTTATTATTATAAAAATATTCCTGTAGTTTTATAATCGATTTGTATACAACTTGTATTTTTGTAAGTAGTATTAAATATTCGTACCGTCCGAAATATGGTCCATGTTGTACAAAGTAGTCTTACTATATTATATGATTCCAAATTTGGTATAGCCATTATAGGTTATATTAAACTTGTATAAACCTATTGTGTGAATTTTGAAAATAAAAAGTTTTGAGACCCTAGTCAATTGCTTTATTTTTTATTCTGCAAACCCTTTCTGTAACGGGCATTGACCTTTTTCTGTTTAAAAAAACCATTGCCTAAATACTAACCTTTTTAATGTTTTACCTTTGTTGGTCTTCCAAAAAATAACTACGGCAAATATTTAAGAAATATTTAAATCAGTTCCTTAAATTGGACTGTATAGGTTCTCACCTCACAATGAATATAACAAGACGAAACGAGGTTAAAGTATCACAATGTAGATAGAGCACGTTATAATTAATGTAAAAAAATGTAAAAATAAATTAAATTGTTATTAGTAGTTTCATACAACGAATATTTTATTAATTGTTTTCACTGTTCGATGACAGCCCTAAATTTATACAATAAAAGTACCGTTAGGCTGTTAATTCTGGTAAACGCATCAGAGAGAGATAGACAATAGCAGAAATTGATGAAAGCGACAGACATTTTTTTTTTATTGCATAGGTGGATGGACGAGCTCACAGCCCACTTGGTGTTATGTGGTTACCGGCGCCCATAGACATCTACAACGTAAATGCCGCCACCCACTTTGAGATATGAGTCCTAAGGTCTCAGTATAGTTACAACCGCAGCCTCACCCTTCAAACCGAAACAGACTGACAAGAGGTCCTACCGCCAGTAATATCACAGGAACAGTACCTATTTGACGGAGAAAAATGTTCTTAATGTGCGCACTCAATTTGTACAACTAGTACTAATACGTTTACTTCCTAGTGTGAGCCCGCACGGGTAGGTACCACCGTCCTGCCTATTTCTGCTACGAAGCAGTGATACGTTTCGGCTTGAAGGGCGGAGCAACCATTGTACTGACACTTAGAACTCATGTCTCTAGAAGGGTAACGGCATTGATGTCGTTGATATCGTTGGACTTCGGTAAGCACTTAACCATGAGTTCGTTCACCATCTAAAAAAATCGTATCTGCGATAGATGACCAGCCTTGTTGTTTTAATACGAATCATAATATCTTACGTATAATTTTCAAATTCAGATTAAAATCGCACTACCTTGCACAATAATATGGCTCCTACAATATAACTGTACAAGTTGCTACTTATTTTGTATATACTTGCATATTTTTAGTAGGTATTTATTTGTATTTAATCGTATGTAAGTCTATCTTATATTGTATTTATTTTTCACATGTGTATATAAGTATATATTTTTATGTAAGTTTATTATGATATAGCACCGTCCAGTTCGCTTATTCCTCTCCCTGCAAGGTTGCCTGGAAGAGATCGCTTTCAGCGATAAGGCCGCCAATTTATGTCACCAACTATTATTTGTTTTATTTGCTCACTCTGTACATATTATGTTAAATAAAGTGTTCTTATTATTATTATTACGTAATTTACGTAATTCATGGGTTGACAAAATAATAGCTTGTTCGTTATAAAGATACTCTTTATTCCGAAACTATTGGGAATCTTATTTCTTCGTCGTATCGATTATTCTACTAGAAGAGCATTTACAATTTTCGGCTTGATATATATACTCTTTGCAGTATACAGTGTACATTAAAAAAGCTGAATACACAACTTATCAGTGCCTAGTATAACTTAAAACGCATCCTACATTATAGTATATTATATTAAAATGTTATTAAATATTATTTAATAAATTATTTGGAAAAACGATAGAAGTAGGATAATACGGGTGGAAGAACTATTTATTATGAGTGTTCCCATAATAAAACTGTAAAAATTGATACTGACTATATTTAAAACTAAAATAAAAGTTTTTTTTTTTAATAAATCAAAATAATTAATGTATTTCATTATATATATCTTAAAATAAATTATCTTATTAATTTATTACTATGATTTTTTATTTATTATTCTGGCCTTAACCTCATATTTCGTAAAAGGCATAGATCTCTCGCGGTGTCTTTTCTTCCGTAAGCAGTATTCAAATTATATAAGCGTAAAATCAGACCAATGTTAAAATTGTCAGGTAGAGCTTTAATTAAAGTTGGTACGAGTTCACTAGGCATTTTCTGTAATACTAACTGGGCCCTATCTTGGCCACATTGAACCACATAAATCAAGAACTGAAGTATAAAATGTGTTTGGGGTGTGATATTTCCGTCCTTGCCAGCTAGTTGCGAAAAGGACGCATACAGCGTTTCTAAAGCTGACAACAATGGTTCTTTTAATGATATTTCATATCCTTGTCCCTTACAATAATAAACACCACTTCCATCGGATGTATTGTCGTTGAGTTTCCGCATTTTACTAGACGACATCGCATCCAAATCCTCAACTTCGTCATGACGACGCTTCCTCGAAAAATGCGACTTTTTAGTATTGCTGTGATCTAAGGCAGCATATATGCAATACACTGCTAGCTTGGCTAATACAGAAGACTGGGGTTCAACTAGCTCTTCAGACAACTTAGAATTATACAGGTATTGTGGTAGAACATGTAATAAAAGTGCTCCTGTGCACTTTTCTATGTCCAAATGGAACATCGCCAACACAATATCAACAGATCTATCGAGATCTACTTGGTACCGAAATTTTAATGTCTCTTTCACTAAGTTCGTCACAAACCATATTGGGCCAGTTGTGTTCAAAAGATTCTCAACGAGATGGGTAGCATCAATATGAAGGTATCCTCTGGACTTTATATTTTCCCAAATGCTTTGTAGTTGCTCTAATATTGGCTTGCGAGAGGTGATACTGTATGGCAACTGCTGCCCTTTTGATTTTGGCATTGAAGTAGGATGAATTTTAAACAGTAATTTTCTTATTATCTGACACATCAAAATTGCTCTTTCTTGAAAATTGTCTATTTGAGTTAATTCTAATTCAGTAGGTGATGTTAAAAATTGCTGAACCATATTCATAGGTTTTACTGATGCATCTTGATGGACAACATTGATGTATGAACAAAGCCATACTGATGCACACACTGCCAAGGAAGCCATTTTTTGTCTTATAGAATCCAACATTCTTTTAACATCTGTTGCCGAAAGTAGACCTTGTTCCCAAGCAAAAAGAACCTCTTTGACTGCACCAGTGATATTCATACAAAGATCATGAGGTTTGACATTAGTATTTTTGAAATCAAAGTCAGGAGCACTCAAATGGTGAATGATAACATCAACAACATGATCACATTTCTGAAGTATCTGATCTGAAGATTTATAATTTCCTTTATGTACCATACAATCCCTTACCCATTTCTCAAAAAATGAATCACCATTTTCTTCTAGAACAACATCAGCTCCATAATCTTGGACTATCCAACATAAAAGCAAAAATGAAATGTCAAATATATATACTTTTGATTGTGGTGCACCTTTTNTAACATCAATAACATGATCACATTTCTGAAGTATCTGATCTGAAGATTTATAATTTCCTTTATGTACCATACAATCCCTTACCCATTTCTCAAAAAATGAATCACCATTTTCTTCTAGAACAACATCAGCTCCATAATCTTGGACTATCCAACATAAAAGCAAAAATGAAATGTCAAATATATATACTTTTGATTGTGGTGCACCTTTTTCACTTGCAGCAAACAATGCAAATTCATTAAACTTAATGAGTCTTGACACAAACATTTTTAGTTTTCCTTCCACAGTTGCAACGGCCAGGATGGTATCCAATGTAGTTCGACCAACTATTTGGCATAGCATGATATAGAGCGACTCTTGAGTTTTGTGAAATTCACCACTCAATGCTTTTAAAATCTCTGCCAATGTAGGTTCAACACGAGTTATAAATAATGGGACTGAGCCTTGTAATCCTATTGGCTCAAATTTTTGTAAAGGATGATCAATAGTCTCACGTTTTTGTTTAAAATATGTCAAAGTATTATCTGACAGAACATTAAGTTTAACTAATGGCTCTATAAGTGAAATAACACTATTACAAGAATTCTTGGTATCAACAATATCCAGGAGTGGAGCTGATTGTAATAACATTTCAAAAGCTTCCACAACCTCAGTAGAATATTCACTTTCCTTATTTGTTGTCCCACACATATTATGGAGGTGATTTATCACTTGTGGAACTTTTAGAAAAGTGAATGCAGCCCACAATGATTGCTTCGATGCATCATTACTAGAATCATTTAGTGAAATGAAACAAGCTCTAATAAGTTCACAGTAGAGACGTGACAATGAATAGCCTTTTATTTTCTGAACCATTAGTAGTTGGCTGGAGATCTGTTGCATGCCTGCACTAGGGTTTGAGAACACATTTATAGCTATTAAAGCCTGCAGACAATAGGTTACAGCTTCTGGTTTATTGTTTAAGGGTGCTATTTTATCCAATTCCATATTGCAGATTTTGTGTAAAGTGACATGTATGGTCATCGGAGGTTTGAATTGAGTGTTCATCATCATAAATGCTGTTATCTCTTGACATTTCTTTGTCACTTCGTTATACTCATCAGGATCATTCTGCTTGGCCAAATAGAACATTGCAATCAGAAAATCTGTATTAACAATAGAGTTCAGTAAAACTGATGATTTCTCCAATAATTCCTGACTTTGAACAGAACTTGAAGCTGGATACTTGGTTAATGAATAGTGAAATACTTGTAAAAGCCACAATATTATAGATGATACAGCATAAGCTAAAACTTCTTCTTCTAACTTGCCTCTGCATGTAATACTCTCCAAAAAGGTTTCAAGGAACTCCAACAAGCTTATTATACAATGAGGTTTGTGAAAAGCATCAAATTTTGCGATTCGTTGTAACACAGCCGCGAAAGAGACCAAATGACACGCAAGTGAATGTTTCAAATACGATATCACTAACTGATTGGCCCCACAGCCTACCATGGCTTGCTGAAGAATACAATCAGCCAGATTATATAGGTCACCACTGACGCCCCTCGGCAGTATAGTTTTGATGTTGATGCCCCATTGAATATCAGTCCATCGTTCTTTCCAAGCTTTTAAAATTAAAGCTTTTAGTGAACTAGTTTTACTCGTTATTTTGGAAGCATCCATTTTTATTATTTTATTAGAGCACAATAATGTTTCTTTCTTACATTTCACACATTTTTGACGTGATATTAGTCGTATAATCAACACTTTACTACTAGTCTTTGAGGTTACAAATTACATTTTCTTGTTCACTGTTGAATATTGAAATTAATTCGTTATATTTGTGTGGCACATTAAGTTTATCACATTTTTAAAGATATTTTATTAGCGAGCATTTGAGAATAAACATTACTTTATATGATCAAACTTGAATAATAATAGCCCAATCACAAAATAGACATTTTGAAATGTTGAACTGATTCCGTTTAATTCCATTTAAAGCAATTTTAATATTTTTATTGATTCTTGGTTTAATCGGTGTTTCGTCGAAATTTCAAAATTTGATTAAAATATTTAAATTAAAATACTTTAATAACAAAAATCCGTAGAACTCGAAATTAAAATGTTGATCATTTTTCGGGAACATTGGTTGTCATAGGAAAAACAGAACGTCGATTGTCAAAACTAAATGACAGACCTCGTGGTTTGTTTACAAACTTATTAGTTTTGAATTTCTTAAATAGTTAAGAAAATTTGACTTAAAATGAGTTTTAGAAATTATAAGGATAAAGTAGATGAAGGAGATACAGTGATCTTATACCTTAGTAACAATTTATATGCAATAGATGTTAAGACTGAAGTTAAAAATAAGAAAGGTGAAACGATTGAGAATGTCTTCCAAACACCTTTCGGTGCTTTAAAAGTAAGGAACTTAATTGGTATACAGTATGGAAGTCGGGTATGTATTAGAATTATTTTTAATACCGAACGCTACATTTCATTTATAGTTTAATATTTCTGATAATAACTACATAACCTAACCGACTACATAACAAATAGGTTAATTATTACAGAAACCCACAGTTATCAATTACTACAAGCAATTTAAAGTATCTGGTCAAAATCTCAACTGTATTATGAAATAGCTATTCTGACNTATGGAAGTCGGGTATGTATTAGAATTATTTTTAATACCGAACGCTACATTTCATTTATAGTTTAATATTTCTGATAATAACTACATAACCTAACCGACTACATAACAAATAGGTTAATTATTACAGAAACCCACAGTTATCAATTACTACAAGCAATTTAAAGTATCTGGTCAAAATCTCAACTGTATTATGAAATAGCTATTCTGACTTTTAAACTGGAAGTCAGATAAATGGGAAGATGATATCTGCCTGTGCATGCCTCCGATTCCATGCCCTACTACTAGTAAAAAGTTTTAACAAGTTGCATTTGTGAAAAAGCTAAAATAAAGAATTATCAAAAAATTTTATATTTGTGATACATAATTAACTGAAATGTTGTCAAAGAGGTAAACCTATTTATATGTAACAGAGTAAATGGAGCAATAGGCAGTAACTTGGCATTGTTGATCTCCACGAGCAATTATAACCACTTACCATTAGGTTGGCTTACATAGATAATAATAAAAATAATGCGAAAATGAATTATTTACTGACTTTGGAATAGCAAAACTGTTTTTAATTGCAATATGTCATTGCTGTTTTCAAATAATTTACTTGGAAATTATCAAAAGAAATATTTTAAGTCAAAACAATAAACGAACATGGTTTAAATTGATATATTTTGTGCACTACATGGAAAATGCAAATATCCACATAGAAGCAAATTATCTCATAATTAAAACATATCAACAGATAGAACTATCAAAAGGCTGGGGACACATACTACAGCCCACCCCTGAGATGTGGTCCCTAACATTGCCTCACCGCACTCAAATTATATACACGCCTGACATAAGCATGATCCTGTTCCAATTGGACTTAGTTCCTGGCTGTGTTGTCATCGAAGCTGGTGAGTTGTATACTTGTAGTTTTCTTAAAGTTCAGATTTGGTAATTTTGATTAACTGGCATTTTAAAACAATGCCTTTTGGAGAGTGATCCCTTTTATCATATCAGATCATGAACAACACGTTTCATCTGATATGATAGTTATAATATTCGCAACCCTAAAGCAATATAGAATTCCACCCTAGACAGAATTCTTAGCATTAATTTTGATTAAATGAACTTTGAGAATAACTGTCCCTTAACATAATGTCTGTTAATAACAAAGAAACCACATCTTAAAGAGTACATAACTCTATGTTAATGCCTACATTATTTTATCAGGTACAGGTAGTGGCTCCTTAACTCATGCACTCATACGTCGCGTGCGGCCAGAAGGGCATGTTTACACTTTTGATTTTCATGAGCACAGATCCAAAATTGCTAGAGAAGAGTTTGAGGCTCATGATGTTGCCGACTTTGTTACTGTGAGTTTATTAACTATTGTACTCTACATTTTTAGTGTAAATAATAAAATAGGCTGTATAAAGAAAATGCAGTGAAATTTAAGTTACATCTGAGACTGAGCTAAGCAAATATGAAATATAATTGTTAAAGAATCAAAATAATTACTACTAACACTTAATACAAAGTTTTTTGTAAGGTCTTTTTTGTTTCGATTTCATAGTATATAATAGATGGTGGAATTATATTTGAGATTTTTAATTGAAATATTAGCTATCTATTCTATACATGAGTCGACTATTATCAAAGGCGGCAATCTGACTTTTGGACAATGATTGGTAAATCAGAAAAACGAACTATTGACTTTAAACTCTTCGGAACGACATCTTAGATAAATAACAGGTTAACTATTAACCTTTATTTAATGCAGGTTTTGAAGCGTATTCTTTGAAGGAGACGATTATATTCAAATAAATCTGTATTGACATATCGATAAAAATGTTTTGTCCAAATGCACAGATTGCCACCTTTGATAATAGACGACTCACATCTAATCTACATATCTTTTAAATTATTATGGATAGTATTGACTTTGTGAAACCTTAGTCCTACAATTTACAATAAAAAAATCACAAAAATTTTGAAGTAAATTTCAATGTCATATTTATTTTATTCTCATGTATATCTAGTTTCCTTCATCTCAATTCCATTTCTTCCTCATTGTAATTTTATGTGTTTATTCTATAACTAGCGACCCGCCCTCGCTTCGTTTCGGAAACATTAAATTTTATTATTGATAGCTGAGTCCCGCGATGTTACCCGCGGTTAGCCGGGTGAAGCCTCGGGGAAAAGCCAGTCCAAAAAAAGTAGCCTAAGTTACTCCTTATATCATCAGCTACCTATCAGTGAAAGACCCGTCAAAATCGGTCTAGCCGTTCCAGAGATTAGCCGGAACAAACAGACAGACAGACAGAATAAAATTTAAAAAAATGTTATTTTGGTGTATGTACCGTATATTCATATTATGCATGTAGTAAAAAGAGACTATTTCAATATTACAAACAGACACTCCAATTTTATGTATATGTATAGATAAGCCAGGACCTTGAATTTTTTACCCAAATGGTTAACAAGCAACTGAAGAGAAAAAAGTCGAAAAATCTGTAGGTAGTTAAAAATGTTTTAGGCGCAACACAGAGACATCATACGAGACGGCTTTTCTGAAGAATTGAATGGGAAAGCGGATGCCGTGTTTTTGGATTTACCCAGTCCTTGGCTTGGAATTTCTCATGCAGTAAATGCCATCAAAGAACAAGGTAAGACACTAATTTCAACATTTCGGTAGAAAGTTTGAATTTTTCATTTTATCTTGGAAACATTACCACCGCCCCGCCTATTTCTGCTGTGAAGCAGTAATGCGTTTCGGTTTGAAGGGTGGGGCAGCCGTTGTGACTATACTGAGACCTTAGAACTATATCTCAAGGTGTGTGGCGCATTTACGTTGTAGATGTCTATGGGCTCCAGTAACCACTTAACACCAGGTGGGCTGTGAGCTCGTCCACACATCTAAGCAAACAAAATATTAAACAAAACATGTATCACCTACAACATAGAGCCTAAAACCACTGAAGTATGAAACCTAGTCTATGCCTAAAACGTATCCTCCACAATGAACATATCTTCAACCTCGTGACTTACTTTTGATAAAAGAAGTTAGCTTCATTATTTCGTTCATTTTTCAAATAAGCAGAGCGGAAGTTAGAATTTGTTTACTTAAATTTCATCTTTGTATACATGATAATACATTTGTAGCTGTTAAATTTTATACTTTACTTGTCGCATTCTAACGATAATATTGAATCAAAAACTTTGCGTAGGTAATATTGATTACTAACAATAGGTACGTATTTCGTATAAGATCGATGTGAAGTTTAGATATTGACTAATTTATTATGCTATGATATCCACCCATTGTAACCACGTGTACCAGTTTCCTTCCGTCGACGTGCTTCGAAGACTGTCTTAATGATGACTTAATATTAGATCAGCGGTAACTCACCTCCCAATACACAAATAAAAAGTGTAGCCTTGGGTTAGTAATCTATATACATAAAAATGAATTGCTGTTCGTTAGTCTCGCTAAAACTCGAGAACCGCTGGACAGTTTGGCTAATTTTGGTCTTGAATTATTTGTGGAAGTCCAGAGAAGGTTTAAAAGGTACAAAAGGTACATAAATATGAAAATGCTTGAAATTAAATAAAAATTACGATTTTGTTTTTGTTGATGTGTCCTCCGTCGGACGGATTTCTTTTGTTTGTTTTAAGTTTATTTTATACGAAAGTTTAGGTCTTTTATTTATCGATTGAGGCACTACGAAGTCTGTCGGGTTAGTTAGTCAGTAATAAAAAAATATGAATTGAAATGAGAAGCAGTACCGATGATTCGTATAAATATAGGTACCTGCATTGAGATTACGAATCTGATCGTAATCTGAATACAGTGTCGGTAATTCAGATCCCTGTTTAATTTAAATCGAAACTATTCATTTATCTACTCAGTGCCGATAAAGATAAAGCATCCGGGATCTATTCATCGGTTCACGACGATTTGAAAGTGGTCGGACCTCGAGCATTGTGCAGAAATGTCGCACATAGCATTATTGTTTCATTAACATTTAACAATTCGAAGATTTTATAACACTAAATGAGCTTAATTTCGAATATTGCTTAAACTATATCTATATATTAATACGTGAAGCAAAAACTTGACGGAGGAGTAAGAAATTTTTCAAGAGAATATAGAGAGGAAGTGCACAATGCTAATACATATTTATAAATAAAATAATGCATAAAAGATACATTAAATCAATAAAGAAAACATTACACACACTACATACCATGTATTTGACGCAACACGCATGCATACTATTTATTGTCAAACTTTTGTTCTTGACGTCTGTTGTCAAATTGAGAATAGATTAAAACGAAATATTGTTTCACTTTATTAATATTTTTTTAGCGTAGCCTTGGCGAAATTTGTTATTATAGAAGTATAAAATACAATCATAGTAGTGTACAAACTTACAATTCCAATTAATTATAGTCGAATTTCTCCTACTGCGGGACCTCTAATATTAAAATTATGTATGGTATGTATGTATTTTCGTGTACATGTTTTTGTTACATGCGTACATTTGTTTGTTAAAATTATGTTTCAATGCACCTACCATTATTTACTCTGTAGTACTTTTGGTTGACTAGTAGAGAATGCGTTAGGCATTAAATCCGCCAGTGTATATAAATATATGTAATGTAATAAATAAATAAATATATTTATCAGATTTTAAACGTATGTGATCTAATGGATAGGTCGCTCATCAACAGCAATAATATTTGAATAAGCTAATATAAATTATGTATTAGTGGGAACGCAATCAAATACGTTTTCGGGGTGAGATACTGAGTTTATTTTCGATTTTTACATAAATTTAAATTCACTGCAAAACAACTTAGATATCTTCGCCTTCGTTTTCAGTCTGTCGCATGTCACCTGCCATCAAAACGTACCGTACCTACTTAAAATAATAAAAGTAATTGACCAATTCCATTTTAAACTCAAATTCAGCGAAACTATTCTTTTTCGTCTTACTAAATATAAAACCAAGATATTATTATATCTACAGAACATATGTAGATATATTTTCATAAGATTAAAGTCTTATCTTGAATGCAGATTTAATTATAAAATTATTGAAAAACAATAACACAATATAACATAACAAAGTAATGAATCGCTCATTAAAACTTCAGAATTTCTGTTCGAAGGTTTTTTAAACTCGAAACCGGATTAGTCTCATCAGAGATAAGTCTTTAATCACATACAAAGACCCGCGTCCATTACATTGCCAATAGCGGGTAATGTTCGTAATCGGACGTATTACCGATGTAATATCGTATAATATGTAATATCCAATACGGTGCTGTAATTACGTAGCGTATATTGCAAACAAATCTAATATGTAGTTAATGGAGACGTAGTTATGTAAGTTTTGTAGGGCTGGTGCTGATATTTAAATTATCAATTGCAAAGAATTTTGGGATCTTATTCCGTGGCTATGTTTATACTGACAGCTTATTTTAAACATTAACGGACAGGCCCTAGTAAATATGTAACGTCTCGAAACTAGTAAGACTACCCATATATTTCTGTCTAAACAGATAATATTGTGTTCCGATACAGACTGGGAGCTAAAAAAGCAACACTTAGGAGCATAACTATTGAGATGTCGTTTCTTAATCATTCATGTTATCCTAATTTCAGTCAATAAGCTACCTCACTTCAGTTTATCATGAATTTAATATAAAATTAATGGAATTTTGTTTCATTCTGTGTATTTCCGTATCTGATAGGTTTGGAAATTCGTGTAACTTTTACTCGAAACAAAAAAAAGTTTATGACTCGTAAATCGTTCCGACAAACTGATTGTATGAATTTGTAGTACTCATTCAAATTGATAGGGTTTTGTAAGAAGCATATTATGAAAATTTATAGACGAGACTTCCTAGGGATAACTAACACCCCTAAACCGCCTAAAGTAGCACCCGGCCTCCGTCGGCGCTCTAGCTATGATCTGTTGGATCCAGCGTTCAGTGCTGTTGGATGCTCGTACTCGTCGAACTTCAACGTGACGCTTAACTCATAGTAACACCCAGAGTTTCTCAAGGCATTTTCTCAGCAAGTTATGTTTCTAGTCCGATGATACATGCATTCGCGAAGCAGCCGCATGGCTGAGCCCAAGCTCGCCCAAGCGTCTTCGTGAAGATGGAAAGCTGTGGGCGCCGCCTCCTACTTATTCTTTTTATTTCTATGAGTGTCATTGTAGGTTTGTAATGCTACTTTAGTTTTGTATCTTTGAAAATGATATTTTGTAGGCCATTAAAAAAAACGCTTTTTTTTCTCCTGCCTAAGCTGATAGCCTTAAGAGGCTATTTCAGCGTAACCTTAGCTAGTAGGTGAGCTCACGGGGCTCAAACCGGAGTGATGCTAACACTGACCCTAGCAAGAGCAGTGCTTTGCAGAATCTAACATCGGATCGGAAACGCGACTTACTGAGAAGATCCGGCGAGAAACTCAGTGGGCTGTGTCTATGGGTTAATTCGCTTGTTAAGCCCTTCGTCGCAAGCGACGGGTTCGACGAGGACGGTGAACGGTGCTTGTGATACCTAAAAGCACCGTTAATGGATCGGGAAGATCCGTAATGCTGTGTTTTGGGCGACAAAACCGCAAAGTATCGCTTCTCAAGACTGAGACTCTGTCTAGAATCATTGATTTATAAAGTATGTTATTAGGTTTCCGCGAGTCCAGGACATGAATAAAATTATTTTTTCAAGACACATTATTTCCAATAAATACATTTATTGTCATTATATTATTTCCGATGTTTCAAATACATTAAAGTTTTCGACAGTCGTCCGCCCGTAAGCTTAGTTTTAATTATAACATTTTTTGAGTTTATTTTGACATTTCATAAATAGGTAAGTTACATGATATACAAGTGATTTACTTTGACATTCAATAAATAGATACGAGTATGTTACATGATATCTAAGTCCTGGTGAAGCTGGAAAGGCCTCCAGGCCACCAGTAATCTTTCAATCATAAAAAAAAAGATATCTTAGTAATTTTGATTTTGAAGCGTGTTAAAATTTCAATGAATAATATATTAATTGCCTAAATCAGTTTCTTCCCACAAGAGTTTTAAAATTACATTAATCACAATGTACTTCGAACGATATACGTTCGTTTCTTATTACAAGTGCCACGTGTAAATCATTATATTAATAACCATAACCAAATATGTCGCATTAATAAATGGTCACCTCGTTTTGTATAGAATAACGAATAACAATAGGTGCGACAAATGTATGAGAAACGGGCCGCTATGTATGAGCGTATTAACGTTGACAATGTTAGTGCTCATTTAAAGAAACACATCTATAGTGATAGAGGTCTTATAACAATGCAGGATTACAATTATCAGAATGTTTTCCATAGATCTATTATTATTATTATTTAAACTGTACTATTCTGACATCGGTATTTAGAAATTTCACGACAACTTTTCTCTACATGCGGGTAGTCCATTAGTCGCTTGAGAATATCTGAAAAACCTAATTTAAGAACATCAATTAATATGGAATTAGTTTTGCACGTTTTTTTTTTCTAATCTATCAGCCTACATATGTCCACTGCTGGACATAGGTCTCTCCCAAGCCTCGCCACAAGGATCCAACGGATCCCCGCGAACATCAATAG